CAGTCTGAGCTGTCAGCGATAATAATCATATCCTTATTCTCTTTAAAAATCCTTCTATTGAGATTATTCACACTACCATCTCCATAATCTGATCTCGTTCAATATATCTTCTCATCACTGACTTGACAAGAACTAACTTACTGCTGTCCCAGTCCTCACCAGCATATCAAAGCAGTCGTCCCAGAGAAAGTATTCCCCTCGTATTGTTGTAAGCGCTTTCCCAGAATCCGCTACTTGTAGAGCCTGTGCATTGATCGCATGTAAAAACGGCGTCTCATGAACTGTAACCCCCTCTTCAGAAACGTCACGACCTGCTGCAGGCGGTAGCTGGTAAGATGAGGATTTGGTGTTGTAGCCTCGTGTCGATGTCAGCAAAGTAATATCTACATTCACATGATCAGACATACCTCGGGGGCCGAGTCGTTCAAAATATCTTGCCTTTGAGTGATATCGTCCATCTGTTCAGCTAATCCTTCCTTGTCTATTCTAGCTGTACTACTCGGTGTCGACTCATAGACAGGAGCATGGTCTGTCTCTTGGGAGGAGACTTTATCGCTATCCTTCGCTCTAATGCTTCCAGGATTTGGGGGCCTGATGATTTCATGGTGAGAATTATGTTATCCTCTGATGTCAATTCTGTCACAGTATAGAAAGACATGACAGTGGGAAGATTTAATCTATTTCATTGATTGTTTCTACAGTACACCCATTCAAGGCTTTATCTTCGGCCATAAAAATGAAAAGTCATATTGAAGAGTACCGTTTTCATTTTAATGTCGACCAGTGTTGCCCGAGTAGTACTCGCCGTAGTACTCGGTGTTCCACCCACTCGCTTCGCTCGTAGGTGGCGACAGCAAGTTGTGCGTGCGACAGCAAGATGTGCGACACATAAAACGAAGAAAAAGACGCCTTATATATCAACTATATAACTATATAATTAAAACATAAAATCAATAGAACTACTATCACTATCGCTACTGCCACTATTGCTACTATCACTTTGATCCTTACTATACCGTAAAATGATCACTTTTGATTTCAACCCTTCCTTCTTCCGCTCTGCTACCCGCTTCCTCTCAACCTTACGCTCTTCAATTTCGATTTTACGTGCTTGCGCTTGTAGCTGCTTTACTACTTGGTCCGATTCCCTTGCTGCTCTTGCGTCTGCTTTTGCTTGCAACTTTGCTTTCTTCTCTTCCCGCATTTTCCGTGCATCTGATGCATATAACTGCCCTCCTTTCTGTAGTGATTTCCGTGCCCTTGCCTTTGCTGCCTTCTGCTCTACTGCACGTAGAGTCATAATATCTAGCTCGGTCTTATAGAGCTCTGCCCGGTGTAGAACAACTGTAGTTCCACGTGCAAATGATTGAAACCCTTCTCTTGAAGGCGATGAGAAAGCTTCCTCTGCTCTCTTCTGCCAATGTTCAACCGCTTGCACACTTTGCATAGTTGTTTTCGGTGTTGAGATAATATTATATGAAGCAAATGGCTCATAATCAGGTGTTTGATTCCGAGTCTCTTGTATCTTGTCAATTACAAGTGGAGGATTATATGGATATAGTCCTGTATTTCTCCAACCAGATTGAATTGTACAGACAGTTAGAGATTGCCGTCGGATTTGCGGGAGGTCTGAAAGGAACGTACGTAGCTTATACTCATAGTCGTAGCTACGTACTGCTTGATCAAGTGCCTTTTGATGAAAGTGTTTGCACTGCTTAAAAACCGCTACATCAAGAGGTTGTAATAGATGTGTTGTATGAGCAGGAAGGCAGCAAATAACAATGTTATGCTCTTCTGCTAATGTAAGAAAGCGCTCTGTTTTATGAGAGTCATGGCCGTCAAGTAATAAGAGGCGAGTATCATCTGGTGCCATATGCTCTGCAGATAGTTGGATAAAATGCATAAGGTATTGGATTGCAATGTCGTCGTTTGAATACCCGCTCTCATTTACAATAATGAGAGCATTTGGCTCAAGGTCATCATTGTACCATGAATCCATATGAAGTTTGCCAGGGATAATGATAGCTTCTGCAAGTGCAGCACCACTTGCATTTACTGCCTCAATTACAGTAACAGAGAGCCGATTCTCAGGATTATCAACAGTCCACTGCTTTACACCGATTGGTACAATAACAGCCGTAGACTTATAACACCCAATCATATAGCCTGTCTCATCAACATTCCATAAATTATATGGCTTAATGTTATGTTTTGTAATAAGGGCGTTATATGTGAGAAAGAATTCCTCAAACACCTCTTTCTTTTGTGCTTGCTTCCGATGTGTATTTAACGTCTTCGTGTGAATTGTATGAAATTCGGGGTGTGCTTTTAGAAAGCGTTGTAGCCACCGTTGTGATGGTATCGTACGATTAGGTCGTAAGTCTGCAACTGCCCGTAGTATCATAGATCGGTTGGCAGGGACCCCGCGCTCAAGTTGGTCGTATATGAATTGACAGACCGCGGTCTCTTGCGATTGAGATAAGACTCGATTGCTACCTCCGTGGGGTAATTGAGGAGACGTAGTACTCGTAATACGACATCGGAGTGTCTCACGGTTGACATTGAATTTATTTGCAACCCAAGCAATTGTATATGTACTTGGTTGTTTTAAGAAGAACTGTTGGGCCTCATTAAGGCGAGCAATCATAGTAGGATCGTTATTTTGAGGCATTGTAGATACTACGTTATGAAGAATACTATTATTTTTTCTATATATCAAAATAGCGGTGTACGCACATCTTGCTGTCGCACGCACAACTTGCTGTCGCCACCTACGAGCGAAGCGAGTGGGTGGAACACCGAGTAGTACTCGCCGAGTACCCGAGTACTACTGTACTCGGGTGATATTTTTGAGTACTCGGTGAGTCCCCGAGTACTACTCCGAGTACTCCGAGTACTGCCAAGCCCTTGGCAAAGAGGGGTAATATAGATCGTAGAATAGAATAGATAATTGAAGCTTTCTTCCACTTGAGCGTTCTGTATTGCTTCCTACAATGAGTGACTCTTCGCTATCGCTGGTGCCGGCTGAGTATCAGTCTGATGCTTTAGAGCTGCCGCCCCTTATTCCGATGCTGATGCCGCATATGCCTCTAAGACTTCAATTACCTGAGTCTACGTCAATCCTCTTTTTAAAAGGGCTATTCTACCGTACTTTATTAGATACAATACCTGCTAGAGTCCAATACCAATGCCTTCAAACCGATTGTAACTATATGCCGAGCCAGCCACTAAAGAGCCAGACAACGAGTAATCTTTGGAAGCATCTTAAAAAGATGCACCCATCTGTGTATACAGAATACGAGAAGCTATCCTCCTCAATTAGAAGCTCGTCAACGCCGTCTACTTCTGCTTCTGCTTCTGCTTCTACTTCTACTTCTGCTTTTTTCCAGCCCCGCCAAGCACCTAATAACGCACCAAGCTCGTCGAAATATAGAGAGCTTATACTCTCTTTTGTGGTATCAAATAACCTACCGCTACGCCTTGTGGAAAGCCACTCATTCCGGCAATTAGTTCATCATCTAAACCCTACTGTTTTAACAGTAGGTAGAACTACAATCGGACGGGATCTATATCGTCTATTCTGCTATCATAAAGCACGGCTTCAAGTAGAGCTACAGCAGCATGTTATAAATGGTGGATGACTATCCATAACAACTGATACTTGGTCTGCTCGGAACTACTCTGAATACGCAGCAGTTACTGTACACTGGATAAATGACAATTGGCAAATGAGAACTACGATACTTGACGTTATACACCTTCAAGAGCCGATCCACTCTGGTGAATACCTTGCTGAACAGATGATGAGTGTAGCAGATGATTATAATATCACGCCTGCTATCTTCACAGTTACAAGAGATAATGCGTCATCGAATACAACAATGCTATTAGAGTATGAGAGACTGGCATCGATAGCCCCTACTTCCTTGAAACAACCATGGGCTTTTACAGCAAAAGCAGGAGACGTACGCTGTATTGGGCATATTATCAACATTGCTGTTCAAGCTGCTTTAGCTTCCTTAAAGGCAACGCCTGACGAAAGGGTAGAGGCATACCGGCTTGAGGTTGGGGCTGCACGAATACCAACTGGAATATCAACTGCTGCTGAATACGAAATTATAACTGTTCTTGCAAAGCTACGGCGTCATATATATGTGTTTCGGAACGGCCGTGGGTGGAAAGATGCCTTGAAGAGTCAGTGTAAAGCTTTAGGTATTCAAGTCCGTCAGTTAACACTTGATATGCCAGTCCGCTGGAGCTCAACTTATCCAATGATTGATATAGCTTTAAAGCTTCAGGCTCCGATTACAGCTTTATGTGCATCACAGCAACTTGATATTAGTATGAGGAATATTGCTTTAACAGCAATAGATTGGGCTACGTTACATGACTTATTGAAGCTATTCCATATCTTCGTCCGCCCAACCGAGAAGCTACAGGTGTCATACTGACATTCGTTGCACTCAGTTTGCTATCAAACTCAAGAGCAAACTTGGAAATCTCCTCCTCAAACCTACAAGTCACTGTTCATGTTCCTAGGCCTCTAGTTGATAGAGATAAGGATGCCTTCTCGTCTCTCATTCTAGGGAGTAGACTCTGGGTAGCTGCGGGGTCACGTGTGAATGCTTGGGTGGGCTAACCGAGTCGGAACCGAGTCGGAACCGAGTCGGATGGGTTTCGGGTACTTGAGACAATCGACTCACAGGGTTCCCCCATCATCTTTTTTGTATCCTTCGTAGTAGACCTATAGGATAGCATCCGTTTAGCCTCCGACTCGCACTCTCATATGCTATTACTGTGAGCTGGGTGCCCTGTGTCCTTACAACATCATACATTTGATTGCTGCATTGTGGAATAGTCTAAGCTACAACCCTTTGGCTCTGTTTCCTAAGACAGTGTGTTGTCTTAGTAAATATCTTCCCCTCCCCTGGGTGGCTAGATTCTCACATCTGGTGCACCCACCATTACATCCGACGACCAGACGTTAATGCTCAAAGGGCTCATTGCGCAAAGAGCTCAGTGGCATAGAAGGCGCAGTCATCGGAGGGCGTAAATGGAGGTCGTGGCCCTGCGAATGCGTTCATGTGCCACTGCGGGTTTTCAGCTGCAGCGAGGCCGAGCAGGGGGATCCGTTGGGCGGGGCCATGCAGCGTGGAGGGGGGCGAAAGGAGGCCAAGCGTCGCACGATGAGCGTAGCAGGTACGAGAATGTTGGTGTTGGGAGGGAGGAGCGATGGTGGAGAGGGACAGGCGAGGGAGGGAGTGGCCCTTTTATAGAAGTTGAAAGCGGCGGCAAGCTTTAATATAAAACATTGCTTTAACGTAACGTATGGGGAGTCGGACATATGGGGTTGTCAGACAAAAAGTTTATTCTACTCTAGTTGACCGAGTCCTACGTGCCACACACTCCTCCAATTCCAATTCTGGGTCGCTTGAATCGTTCTCTACCTCTTCCTCTTCAAGTTCCTCGTCTACTTCTTCAATTGGCCGTTTGCGTGGCCTTCCACGTGGTCTTTTCTCGGTTGACTTCAACTCTGCCTCCCAGACAATTTTCAACACTTCCTCGGTACTGAATACAAATTCGCCTTGCAACTTAATTCTCTTGCCCGTAGTTCTTTTCTTTCGTGTCTCAAGTATCTCTTTGTACTCTTTTACCTCCTTCCGAAGGATGCTGAGTTCAGCATTCTGACTTTCAACCAGCCTAGTCATTCTCTTGGCATAGCGTCGAGTTGGTGAAGCAGGAGAGTCACAAGTTGCCATACTTGAATTAAATACTAAATTTGCATGCCTTAGTTCAGTTCCATCTGGAGGAGAACTTCGGAGTATTGAGAGATCCAGAGTAGTGATATTGGTTGAGTTTTGAGGAGTGCGAGGTGGTTCGGTTGGTGGAAGTGGAAGGTTAGCCAGAACTCTTTCTGGGAGAAAGGGTATTAAACCTGCTGCCCTCCACCCACTTCTAATGTTTTGAGGTATAAGACCCTTCTCTCGAATACACCGGAAGATTTCAACCCAGTGGGAGCGCTGGATTCGCTTTATTCCTGCTCGAGTATACCGATCTACTTCCTGAGCATGAAATCGCTTAAGAGGTCCATACACCCCAACATCAAGTGGTTGGAGTAGATGAGAGCAATGAGGCGGTAGAATAAGAAGGTTGATGTCATTCTCAATGCACAGTGCAATCATATCGCCAGTAATGTGACTAGAATGGCCATCCATACTCAACATTTCCAGACTTTTTGCGTGACTCAGGCTCAAATACCTTCCGCAACCACTCAAATCCATGACTGTTTGAAGTCCAGCCACTATTACTTGTTGAGAAGTGCCAGTTTGTAGGGGTGTCCTTTGGAATCCAACTTGAATTGGTATTCTTAGCCTTGAATATAATCATAGGTGGTAAAGCACCACCGTCTGCATCAATGCATTCAAGTACAGTTATCCACTCCTGCTTCCCAGCTGTGACCTTCCAATTGGATTTCAAGGTAGAATCAACAATTATTCGCGTGGATTGAGTCTCTCCAACTGCAAAACCTGTCTCATCCATATTATAGATGTTGCATGGCTTGTACTTTCGCTCTTCAATTCGTGCTTTAAACGCGTCAAACCAAGCTGAAATCTTTATAGGAGTGGCTTCTTTATGTCGTGCAGACTCTAGTTGTCTTGAGTAGACCCCTTTAAAGTTTGGATGTCGTTTTAAGAATCTATAGATCCATTCATGGCCTATGGGGGTAGGATTGGTCCGAAGAGTGGTTTGAGAAGACGTGATTTGGACGCGTCGTACGCGAATTTCTTCAGCCATTTCCTTGATCAACATAGGAGTTGCAGGAAAACCCGTGGCAGTGAGACGTGTAATCCATCGTTGTAATGGTGGGTGCACCAGATATGAGAATCTAGCCACCCAAGGAAGGGATGAATTTACTAAGACAACACACTGTCTTAGGAAACAGAGCCAAAGGGTTGTAGCTTAGACTATTCCACAACGCAGCAATCAGGTGTATGATGTGGTGAAGTGGTTTAGACAAGTTGCAACAAATGTTGAGTCTGAGAACTCAGGGGTAAGTCAGAGGTTAGCACCTCACTGACTTTTCAAAAACAGAGAATAACAAGATCAATGCTTGGAAGCTTGGAAAAGACGTAGAAGTATGTGCTAGTCGATTTACTGTATTGCCTGCTTGCCCTTTCTTAAGGAAAGGGCAATCCTATTTATGCCAAAGGAGTGTAGTTCTCTCATTTTCCATGACTTTCCATGACTAACCAGGCTTGGTAAATGTATTAGAAATCAAGTGCGACCCACAACTAGCTTGCTAATCATGTAGTGAACGTAAGAGAATCCCATAGAACCATCTCTTGGGTTCCTAGCCTATAGGAAGTGAAAAGGAGGTCCAAGGTCAGAGTACCTATAGATAAATTATGTCATAACTTAACCAATCTTGTGGGTAACTAAGGAGCGATGACGTGTAATGAATCATAGAGGGTTGTAGAAGCTTCTAGAGCTATCGTTCATGTTCCTAGGCCTCTAGTTGGTAGATATATGCCATGTGGTAGTATTGGCCCACCCCCTTAAGGAGGAGATTTTCTTAATAACTTGTTCAATGAGTGTTCAAATGATATGCCGTGATGTATGTAGCATAAACAGATGTAGTAGAAGAGTTTGCAGCAATCGTTGAGTAGTATTGCTTCTGTTGTTGGTGTGATAAGCCAAGATATGTATGGTGACTTGTAGGTTTGAGGAGGAGATTTCTAAGTTTGCTCTTGAGTTTGATAGCAAACTGAGTGCAACGAATGTCAGTATGACATGATCCCCCTTTTAAGGACGTTTGTGGGCTGTCTGCTTGCCCTTTAGCCAGGTGGCTTTCTTAGAAAGAAATTCTAGAATGAGCTTAGATGCATTTTTTAGATTTCTCTTAGGCTCCCAAGTGTTGTCACTTGTAGGATAGCCTTTCCACTTAACGAGGAAGTAGTCCTGACCTCTAAGTGTCTTTTTGTCAAGGATAGACTCTACTTCATATTCTGGTTGATCCAAGATCAGAACAGGAGGTGGAGGAGACTGAAGTGGTCTTAAGGAACTTTCTTGTGCCTTAGACAAGAGAGATGCATGGAAGACATTATGGATAGTCCAAGTAGGTGGTAATGCAAGCTCGAAAGCATTCTTGCCAATAGTCCTTGTGATCTTAAAAGGTCCAAGTCTTTTAGTATCAAGTTTGTCTGAAGGTCTAGTAGTTGTGATATGTCTTCTAGACAAAAAGACTTGATCACCAACTTTGAATTGTGGTGCAACCACCCCCCTGTTAAAGGCCTGAGCCTGCTCGTCTTGTGCACGCTGTATTTGAACCTTGAGATAGTCCTGGAGGCCCTTAAGGTAGATGATTCTTTCAGTAGCAGAAGGGTTTTTGAAAATTTCAGGACAATTCAGTTCTGCCACTTCAAACCTAGGGTGATAACCATAGTTTGCATAGAAAGGTGTCTCTTTTGTGGTGTTAGAGACTGTGTTGTTGTAAGCAAATTCTGCAAGATGGAGAAGATCTGCCCAGTTGTCTTGAGCATAGTTTGTATAAATTCTTAGATATTGTTCAAGTACAGAGTTGACTCTCTCTGTCTGGCCATCTGTTTGAGGGTGATAAGCTGTAGAGAAGCGTTGTTCCATGTTTAAGAGTTTAGAGAACTCCTTAAAAAAGTTTGAAGTGAAAACTGCTCCCCTATCTGAGATCCAGTGTCCAGGAATTCCATGATATTTAAAGACCACCTTGAGGAATAGCCACGCAAGTTCAGAAGCTGTGATAGTCTCATTGCAAGGCTCAAAGTGTGCCATTTTTGTGAGCCTTTCTACCACCACAAGGATAGAGTCATAAGGGGTAGCACCCCCTTTTGGGATAGAAGGAGGCAACTTGACTATAAAGTCAATGGATATGGAGTCCCATGGGCGTTCTGGTATAGGTAGAGGCTGCAAGAGGCCATAGGGCTTTTGCCGTGTAGGCTTGTTCAAGTTGCAAGTAGTGCAAGAAGATATATAGTCTTGAAGAGTAGTCCTTAGACTAGGCCAGTAGAACTTTCTTGTTAGAAGTTCATAAGTTTTTGCAAAGCCAAAGTGCCCTGCAGCTGGAGCATCATGGAACTGCTGTAGGAGGTGTAGCTGTAATCGTTTATCCCTTGGGACATAGATATAGTTCTTGAATAAGAGAAGTCCATGCTGATTTTTTGAGAAATTCTGTAGTCCAACTTTCTCAAGAGAGGAACCTTTCTTCTGGAGGTATTCCAAAGTTCCTTTCGCAAAGGGATCATGGTTGTAAGCATCTTTGAATGCTTTAAGAAGTGTTGCTGAGGGTGTATAGTCTTTAAAGGTCTCTGGTTCCTGAGAAGAGGTAATGGGGGCAACTTGGTCTTGAGGGGATAAGTTTACCCCTAAGTCCTCTGTAGTACTAGGGTTGCTTAAAGATGCTGCTATAAGCTTTGCTGAGTCTAGCAGAGCCTTTGTATTGCTAGTTTTAGCAGAATCTTGGTAGTCATGTCTTCTTGAGAGGAGATCTGCTCTTTGATTCTTGGCCCCTGAGACATGTTTTATAACAAAGTCAAAACCTCCTAGTTGTTCAGACCACCTTGCTTGTCGTCGATTGAGCTGTTTAGTGGTTGTAAAGGTCAAGAGATTTGAATGGTCACTCTAAATAGTGATAGGATAGTTTGCCCCTTCAAGGTAGCATCTCCAATGCTTTAGAGAACATGCAAGCAGTTCCTTGTCTGTAATGGGATAGTTTTGTTCAGCTGCTGATAGCTTTCTTGAGTAAAATGCCACAGGCTGTAGCTCTTCTTGTTTGTCTTTTGGAGCTTGGTATAAGATTCCAGAAATGGCAAAATCTGAGGCATCTGTCTCAAGAGTGGCAGGTTTCAAGGGGTTAAAGTGTAGTAACATTTTCCCTTCTTTAAATTCTCCTTTAAGAGCATCGAAAGCATCTTGCTGTGTCTTATCCCAGTGATACAAAGTGTCCTTGTGAAGTAATTGAGTAAGGGGTAAAGCCAAGGATGTATATCTTGGTATAAACCTCCTGTAATAGTTGGCAAACCCAAGGAAAGACTGAACCTCTTTAATGCTGGAAGGAATAGGCCACGTTTGTACTGCTTTTGTCTTTTCAGGGTCCATCTGAATGCCTTCTGTTGAAATTCTATGTCCTAAGAAATCAACTTGAGACATATGGAAAAGACATTTCTCAAGTTTGCAAAAGAGTTGTGCTTGAGATAGCTTCTCTAAGACTTGTCTAACATGTAGAACATGCTCTTGAGTGTCTAAAGAGTATATAAGAATGTCGTCTAAGTAGACAACAACAAAGATATCCAAGTAAGGTCTTAGAATATCATTCATGAGAGCTTGGAAAGAAGCAGGTGCATTGGCAAGCCCAAAAGGCATTACCTGGTATTCAAAATGACCATAGCGTGTTCTGAATGCTGTCTTCCACTCATCACCTTCCTTGATGCGTATCAGGTTATAAGCTCCCCTGAGATCTAACTTGGTAAAGATCTTTGCTGAAGAGAGCCTATCTATGAGCTCAGGGATAAGGGGTAAAGCATATCTGTTTTTAACAGTGACTGCATTAAGGCCCCTATAATCAACACAGAGACGCAAGGAGCCATCTTTCTTCTTGACAAAGAGAATGGGAGCTCCTGCTGGTGAGGAAGAAGGTCTGATAAAGCCAGAACTAAGGTTCTCATCTAGGTATTCTCTGAGAGTTTTCAGCTCTAATTCAGATAGAGAGTAGATAGGGCCGTAGGGAGGCATTGAGCCTTCTGCGAGTGGTATCTCATGGTCATAAGGCTGGTGCTTTGGCAGAATTGATGCCTTTGCCTTGTCAAAAAGATGTTGGTAGTCTTGGTATGCTAAAGGCAAAATGACCTCCTGAGATGATTTCTCCAAATCTGAAGTAGCTGCTATCTCCAGGACAGGTTGGAAAGGTTTAACCCATATCAGAGATGATATATCGCCCATAGTTTGGTCAAAATCCTTGATCTGGGACAAGTTTGAGTCTTGGACCTGAATAGGGGTAACTGAGGCTTGAAGGGTTTTTTCAGTATTGAGCTCAGGATTTGAGCTAAACCCAAGCGATAAATGCTTCCAATTGATAGTTGGATCATGCCTTTGAAGCCATGGAAGACCTAGGATAACTGGGTACTTCATTGGTATAACATCTAAAGAGATGGTGTCTGAAAATGTTGATTTTCCTAGGGGAATCTCAAGTTTGAGTACTGGGGTGTTGCAGGTAATGGAACCTGAACTGATAGGAGTTCCATCAATGACTCGGAGCAACTCTGGAGTGCGTTTGGGAATTGTAGGTAACTGGTGTGTCAAGATGAGGTCTTGAGATATAAAGTTGCCTGTTGCCCCTGAGTCTATCATAGCCCTTGTAGACAACACCTGTTGTTTGAAATGGAGTTGAATAGGGATTAACAGGTGTGTGAGACTCTGAGAAAGCACCATCGACACATCTTTGTTGTCTAGGGGAGAAGTTATAGTCTCAGTTGAAGTTGTGCCTGCTAGGGATTTTTCAAGTTTTTCAGGAATAGCAGTTGTGACTGTGTCTGAGGCTGCTATATGTTTTGAATCAGCACTCCCTCGTGCTGAATAGCACTCCTGAATTCTGTGTCCCCCTTTGCCACAGTATAAACAAAGGTTGTTGTCCATTCTGTGTTTTCTTTCTTGAGGGGTAAGTTTACCCCTTTTCAGTTTTTGAGGGTATCCTGTAGGCTGAGGTGCTGGATTTGCTGTAGATCTCTTTATAGAGGCGTCTAAGTCCATAGGTTCAGGTGCTGAGTCCTTAGCAGTTGGTGTAGAGGTGTAATTGTTGAAATTTCTTGTTGGATGCCAGTCTTGGTTCTTCTCCTTTCTTCTTTCAAAAAGCCTATCATCGAGTCTGACAGCTTTCTCTATAAGCGTTTGAAGTGTTGTAGGGCGTTCTTCTTTGCTGAGTTCATCCTTAATAGAGCTCTTGAGCCCTTGGTAGTAAGTGAAGACTAAGGCTTCTTCATTCCAAGTCAAGTGAGAAGTGATTCTCCTAAATTCTGTTGTATACTGAGCAGCAGAGGTCTTTTGACATAGCTTCTGTAGCTCTCTTTCTGCTGTAGCAGTTTCGTTGATGTCTCCAAAGGTCCTGGTAAGTTCCTCTTGAAACTGGTCATAAGAGGTAATCAAAGGTGTAGTGGTATTTTGGTTGTTGCCACTAAGTCTTCTAAGATATGGCTCAAAGAAGTTGAATGCAGATCCACGGAGGTAGCTGGCAGCGAAATAGATCTTCTGAATGTCTGAGGTGAACTGATGAGGCCTGAGGGTGAAGTAGATGTCCAGTTGCATAAGAAATCCCTTCAACTTCCTCCTGTCTCCATGGTATAAATCTGGTGTTTGCACTTTAGGAAGTGCACCTGGGGTACTCGAAATAGCCAGAGGAGCTGTGGGAAGCTCTGTATGATGTGTCTGAGTTGAAGATTGTGTTGCTGAAGTGTTGGCTTGAAAGGTGTTTTCCAAATTCTCAAGTTTGTTTGCTATAGTTTGTATAAAGGCAAACAGTTGTTGCATCTGCTGTTCAGCAGTAGTTGTAGGAGCTTGGTCGTCCTCCATTGTAGTATCGAAGTGCTGCTATAGAAATAGTTGAAGCTTGAAGCAGGCAAGGTGTAATGGTGGGTGCACCAGATATGAGAATCTAGCCACCCAAGGAAGGGATGAATTTACTAAGACAACACACTGTCTTAGGAAACAGAGCCAAAGGGTTGTAGCTTAGACTATTCCACAACGCAGCAATCAGGTGTATGATGTGGTGAAGTGGTTTAGACAAGTTGCAACAAATGTTGAGTCTGAGAACTCAGGGGTAAGTCAGAGGTTAGCACCTCACTGACTTTTCAAAAACAGAGAATAACAAGATCAATGCTTGGAAGCTTGGAAAAGACGTAGAAGTATGTGCTAGTCGATTTACTGTATTGCCTGCTTGCCCTTTCTTAAGGAAAGGGCAATCCTATTTATGCCAAAGGAGTGTAGTTCTCTCATTTTCCATGACTTTCCATGACTAACCAGGCTTGGTAAATGTATTAGAAATCAAGTGCGACCCACAACTAGCTTGCTAATCATGTAGTGAACGTAAGAGAATCCCATAGAACCATCTCTTGGGTTCCTAGCCTATAGGAAGTGAAAAGGAGGTCCAAGGTCAGAGTACCTATAGATAAATTATGTCATAACTTAACCAATCTTGTGGGTAACTAAGGAGCGATGACGTGTAATGAATCATAGAGGGTTGTAGAAGCTTCTAGAGCTATCGTTCATGTTCCTAGGCCTCTAGTTGGTAGATATATGCCATGTGGTAGTATTGGCCCACCCCCTTAAGGAGGAGATTTTCTTAATAACTTGTTCAATGAGTGTTCAAATGATATGCCGTGATGTATGTAGCATAAACAGATGTAGTAGAAGAGTTTGCAGCAATCGTTGAGTAGTATTGCTTCTGTTGTTGGTGTGATAAGCCAAGATATGTATGGTGACTTGTAGGTTTGAGGAGGAGATTTCTAAGTTTGCTCTTGAGTTTGATAGCAAACTGAGTGCAACGAATGTCAGTATGACAATCGTGCTAGTGTATTTTCTTCTGCATTTGAGAGAGCTTGTTCAATTTCATGAGCTACAGCACGCGTTTTCTTCCCAGACATCCTATCAGCAAGAGTTGACTTAGGAACTTCGAAGTGGTCTGCAGCAAGTCTAATTGATTTGAATTCCTTCAATTGGAGCGCAATGACAGCCTTTTGGATGTTGTCTTCAATCTGAGCACGACTGTATGGTTGTGGGATGTTCATGGTGGAAGGTATGAAGGTTCTGAGTTGGTAGTCGGGCATTTTTGTCCGACTACCCCGTATGTCCGACTACCCCATACGTTACGTTATACTAATAAAGCTCCTTAAATTTAAAGTCACGTGATGTTCATGTGACCTAATACTCATGAGTATGAGTATTTGAGTAACTCGAGTAACTCAGGAGTATCATGAGTATTGTGCTAACCCTGCGAGTAAGCTGTTAGTTCGATTTTTGAGGGTGGCGGGGGTGATGGCTAGGCGTTTCTTAACATCGTTGCTAGCATGAGAGAACGCCGGAAATACAGTTACTATGAGCACTAATGTTGTAAATAATCCCTCTTCGGACATTTGGCGGCATGAGTACAACAGCTCAGGTCCACAATATTACAACACCTATGACATACAAAAGACTTCACATCATATCACATTACACAATAATCAAAAACCAAAATGTTTTGCAAACGCACAACCTTCAATTTTCAGCCCCTACTAAAGGGACCTACAAACGAGCGGCTGCAACTACCACCAGACCCGCTGCTGAACAACAGGCTCATGGCATCGCTATAACATATCTCCATACCGACTCCCCCCCCTCCCCACCCAAGACGAAAAAAGACAAGCAAGCCACTTCAAGCCCACCCATCCAACCCATCAAAAAGCGGTGAAAGAGGGGGTCCCAGAATTAAAAATCTCCTCTCAAGTGCTGTGCACACCAACCTCGTGTTATCAAAGACAAGACATCTAGAACAGCTTGTGCTCAAGAGTCATGTCGGACTCGGGCTGGAGACCAACGCAGGCACGGAAGATGTTGGTCAAGGCACCACGCTGCTTAGCGAGGGCGTTGACGACCGGAGTTCCGTTAGGCACGAGCGGGGCCTTGAGCATGTAAGACAGGATGCTGAGAACAGAGTGGAAGCCCTTGTACTCGCCACCCTCAGACTTCCAGGACACGCGGGTCATGAGCTCGGCGATGAGGACGAGATCGATGATGAGCGGGGAGGCAAGGAGAGAGTCCTCGCACACGTTGAAGAGGGAGATGGTCTGGTGGCCGCCCATGAAGATCTCGGCGTAGTACTCGTCGAGGGCGCGCTTGTTGTCGCCGACGGCGGGCATGTACTTGATCACCACGGTGTGGTCGGGGTGCTCGCCCTCCTTGTAGAGGATGTGGTTGGCCTCGACCATGTCGTCGACGACGTTGGACTTGGAGATCTCCTTGGAGCGGAACTGGCGCTGGGAGCTCAGGTTTTTGCCGTCGTTGTTACCCAAGTGGTTGTACGAGGCGATGGAGGTGAGCTTGATACCGGCGCTGATCAGGAAGTCGACGAGGGCGGACTTCATCTTGGTCTGGCCGGACTTGAAGTCGTCACCGCCGATGAACGCGCCGTGCCTCTCAGCAAGGTCAATGGCACCCGGAACGAAGGTGTTCTGAGGGGAGCCGTTGATGAATGGCACGTTGTCGAGGATACAGGCGACAGCGAAGACGGTGGAAGGAGCAACCTCCTCGTGTCCGTCAGCGATGGCCTTCAACAGGTTGTCGGCAGTGTCGTTGATGCCAGGGATGAGCTCAGCAAAGCGCTCAGTGTTGGCAGTCCACATGACAATGACCTTGTCGAGGTTGTTGGCGGCCTTGAAGTTGGCAATGTCCTTGCGGATCTGCTCGACGTGCTCGTTGCAAGCCTTGGAGCCGGCAATGAGGTTGTCGGCACGGTCCTCCTGGTTGGCGGCAATGAAATCCGGGTAGTAGATGGATGGGAGTGGGGTCATGGCAGCCATCTCCTTGCTGACCATGGCCTTGAGGGTGGGCTCAAGGACAGCAGCACGGTCCATGGCATCAGCCAGGTTCATGGAGCTGATATCCCATCCGCCAACGACGAGGTCGTTGGGGTGGACCATGGGGAGAACGTCATGGAAGGGAATGTTGACATCTTTGGCGGTCGTCGCGTCCGTACCCAGCTTCATGGTGGAGGCCATGGTGACGGAACCGTAGTAGTTGGCAGTACGGTTGCCCTCACGTGTGGGCCAGGTGAGGTTGCGGCGGTTGGCAATGATACCAGCGGTGACGGTGGAACCGTTGTTACCACCGAGACCGACCAGCATCATACCGGTCTTGGGGATGGCACGCTCGACCTTGAAGTCGTAGACTGTCTCCTTGGGGGTAGCAACGTACTTGCCAGCCTCATCTTTAGAGACAGAGGTGGTGCAGTAGGTGTACTTGGACTTGATAGTCGCGTCGGTGTACTCGACGTTTGGGCTGTTGACCGTGAAAAGGTCCTTGACGGGGGAAGCACCGTTCCCGCTTGCAACACCAGTGCCATTGTCAGCGTGTGGTGCCATATTTTAGTATGTTAAGAGTAGTGTAAGCTACTAAAATATGTGGAGGTTTGAGTTGGTTGTTCTTGGTTGTTCTTGGTTGTATTGGATTATTTATTTGACGTGCGGTAAATCCGATGAACTACCAGGAGCACTCTTGCGGCCTCCAGCAAACGGGTGGTGGATACTGTGAGGGAGTCAGCTTGGAGCTCTTCCTCGTCCTCTTCCTCTTCCTCTTCCTCTACCTCATCTTCATCTTCTCGAGGGGAAAGGGGACGTACGAGTTAAGGAGATTAGAAAACGTCTTGAAGACTTGAGGAAGATCGACACTCGGGAGCGACGATCTAGAACAGGTGTAAGACGGGTATTGGGGTGTTGTTGAGGAAGGGTTGAAGTGTATAGCAGCCGATCAGAATGTTGTTGAGGGTTTTGAAGTTTTTGAAGCTTTGAAGTTGTATTGAGCAAATGTTTGTGGGAATGTGCGGTTGTGGGTGGGATGGTGGGTGGGATGGTGGGTGGGATGGTGGGTGGGATGGTGGGTGGGATGGCGGGATGGTGGGATGGTTGCTGTGACTCCAGTGGGTGGTGGTGGCAGGCGTCATTGGAGCATGCTGGGACTCAAGTGGTGGTGCATAGAGATCCGTTCTACTGTACTCTGTACTCGGATCTCGTACCCGTTTACACACGCGAGCAAGAACCCTGAATGGAGCACGTGAAAAAAGGCGTCGCAGTGGTCCTGCACTGTAGCACTGCACCTAACCGAAAGCCCAAATTCTTCACTTCTTTTCTTCCTCTTTTCTTCTCTTCTTCCTCTTTTCTTCTCTTCTTCCTCTTTTCTTCTCTTCTTCCTCTTTTCTTCCTCTTATCTCTCATTCCTCCCAACACCCAACACCCCTGGCACATTCTAACCATAGCACCATATAACTCTTCTTTCATCCCATAATATCCCAAATAGCCGCCCTGGCCAACAAACAATAGGGATTGTTACAAGACCCTCCCCCCCGGTCCTAGCCGAGCACCCCCCCCTTCTCGATCCCACCCATCGTGGCGTCGTCCCCATGCGGAAGAGATTTACGTATCAAATCTCCGAACAAGACGACGGCTAATGAACGAGAGGGACTCGAGGCTATTCGAGTATCTCTTCCGTCCGCTCAATCCGCACACAGAGGGATATTCCTATCGTGCCTGAACTCGACTACTGCAACGATACCAACGATACCAACCATACCAACCATACCAACCATACCAACGATACCAACCATACCAACCATACCAACCATACCACCACGGCAATTTCCTCATTCGACATCAGCCTACGGAATACTCCGTACACCCCGTCCAAATCAGGACCCTGACTGCCCTTGTGGCGCTCTGAAACATACAGCGTGTGGCCAGGAACAGCCAGGGAACAGCCAGGGAACAGCCCAGCTTTGGAGATGACAGCGCTTACCCTGCGCTGTCCCACCCCAACCCCCATCCCCCTCGCCGCACCACACCTTCTCCAGTCAGCGCCCCAGCTGGATTGGATCCTGGCCTAATCTCGTAAACCCTCAACTGTACTCCCCATAGCGACCCATCGGGGGACCAGTCTGGATGCGATGGAGGTGGCGGGTGATGCGCACTATCCTGGCCCACCGCTACTCGGTGTTCCACCCACTCGCTTCGCTCGTAGGTGGCGACAGCAAGTTGTGCGTGCGACAGCAAGATGTGCGACACATAAAACGAAGAAAAAGACGCCTTATATATCAACTATATAACTATATAATTAAAACATAAAATCAATAGAACTACTATCACTATCGCTACTGCCACTATTGCTACTATCACTTTGATCCTTACTATACCGTAAAATGATCACTTTTGATTTCAACCCTTCCTTCTTCCGCTCTGCTACCCGCTTCCTCTCAACCTTACGCTCTTCAATTTCGATTTTACGTGCTTGCGCTTGTAGCTGCTTTACTACTTGGTCCGATTCCCTTGCTGCTCTTGCGTCTGCTTTTGCTTGCAACTTTGCTTTCTTCTCTTCCCGCATTTTCCGTGCATCTGATGCATATAACTGCCCTCCTTTCTGTAGTGATTTCCGTGCCCTTGCCTTTGCTGCCTTCTGCTCTACTGCACGTAGAGTCATAATATCTAGCTCGGTCTTATAGAGCTCTGCCCGGTGTAGAACAACTGTAGTTCCACGTGCAAATGATTGAAACCCTTCTCTTGAAGGCGATGAGAAAGCTTCCTCTGCTCTCTTCTGCCAATGTTCAACCGCTTGCACACTTTGCATAGTTGTTTTCGGTGTTGAGATAATATTATATGAAGCAAATGGCTCATAATCAGGTGTTTGATTCCGAGTCTCTTGTATCTTGTCAATTACAAGTGGAGGATTATATGGATATAGTCCTGTATTTCTCCAACCAGATTGAATTGTACGGACAGTTAGAGATTGCCGTCGGATTTGCGGGAGGTCTGAAAGGAACGTACGTAGCTTATACTCATAGTCGTAGCTACGTACTGCTTGATCAAGTGCCTTTTGATGAAAGTGTTTGCACTGCTTAAAAACCGCTACATCAAGAGGTTGTAATAGATGTGTTGTATGAGCAGGAAGGCAGCAAATAACAATGTTATGCTCTTCTGCTAATGTAAGAAAGCGCTCTGTTTTATGAGAGTCATGGCCGTCAAGTAATAAGAGGCGAGTATCATCTGGTGCCATATGCTCTGCAGATAGTTGGATAAAATGCATAAGGTATTGGATTGCAATGTCGTCGTTTGAATACCCGCTCTCATTTACAATAATGAGAGCATTTGGCTCAAGGTCATCATTGTACCATGAATCCATATGAAGTTTGCCAGGGATAATGATAGCTTCTGCAAGTGCAGCACCACTTGCATTTACTGCCTCAATTACAGTAACAGAGAGCCGATTCTCAGGATTATCAACAGTCCACTGCTTTACACCGATTGGTACAATAACAGCCGTAGACTTATAACACCCAATCATATAGCCTGTCTCATCAACATTCCATAAATTATATGGCTTAATGTTATGTTTTGTAATAAGGGCGTTATATGTGAGAAAGAATTCCTCAAACACCTCTTTCTTTTGTGCTTGCTTCCGATGTGTATTTAACGTCTTCGTGTGAATTGTATGAAATTCGGGGTGTGCTTTTAGAAAGCGTTGTAGCCACCGTTGTGATGGTATCGTACGATTAGGTCGTAAGTCTGCAACTGCCCGTAGTATCATAGATCGGTTGGCAGGGACCCCGCGCTCAAGTTGGTCGTATATGAATTGACAGACCGCGGTCTCTTGCGATTGAGATAAGACTCGATTGCTACCTCCGTGGGGTAATTGAGGAGACGTAGTACTCGTAATACGACGTCGGAGTGTCTCACGGTTGACATTGAATTTATTTGCAACCCAAGCAATTGTATATGTACTTGGTTGTTTTAAGAAGAACTGTTGGGCCTCATTAAGGCGAGCAATCATAGTAGGATCGTTATTTTGAGGCATTGTAGATACTACGTTATGAAGAATACTATTATTTTTTCTATATATCAAAATAGCGGTGTACGCACATCTTGCTGTCGCACGCACAACTTGCTGTCGCCACCTACGAGCGAAGCGAGTGGGTGGAACACCGAGTAAACCCGGCTGGTCCTGGGGCGGCTGGAAGGGGGAGTGATCATTACTACGCTACATACGGACTCCTTTGTATGGGGATGCCATGTCGTGCAGATGGAACCATCGACCGTTGGCACGGCGGCGGGTTGGTGTGGTGAGTTGCAGAGTTCCAGAGCGTGGGAGATGGGGATATTGATGATGTGCGTTCTCATGTTCAGAGTACTCGAGTTACTCCTGAAGATTTCCTCGGCGTACCAGTTATGAGAGCAGCGAAAAAGGAGGTTGACAAGAGGTTGACAGGACAATATGAGGTGCAACCCGTGAAGTTGGGAGCATTGAGAGCAAGATTGTCATCAACCGCCAATCCCCCTCTCGCCCTCCCCTCAACTCCTCCATACTCAGCTCCTACTCGCTGCACAGAGCATGTGATCCGTGCACCTGTGGGTGTCACCGTGGTACCTGGTACCTGCATAAGTTATGTCTCTCCTGTGCATAGACCCTCGAGAGGCCCCTCGTCGACCGTCGAACCGTCCTTAACACCCACCTCCCGGTCCACGTTTCCGAACAATTGTTTAGTCTGAAACCTCGCCGTCGCGCATTCCACTGCCGCTGTTAAAAGACATTCTGTACATACTCTGCTTGAAGTGCCGGAAACCAAAGACATTTCTTCGTCCTTGCTTTGCAATCGTGCTTGCTTGCTTTCCTCCTTATCTCCCTAACCTACCAAAAAGACCTCGACCAGCAGAGTCAACAACAACAACAAAAGGCGCAGGTAGCCTTCTCCCAATCTGCTCGTTCACCACCACACCGCGCATCTGGACTGGCAGCCTGGAGCGCTGCCGCATGTTGCAATATCCAGAATAGGAGACCTGAGAGCGTAGGACCATGGCGGACACCAGCAGGATGTCAGGCTTCCTGCCGACGATCAAGTGCTCTATGTGTGCGCAAGAGATCGAGATCTCCATGATGGGCGAGCATGTCTGCGGCCCTGCTGAGCGTAAGGCTTCCCATTCCACCATCAAGGGCCCGAGAGAGACGGAGACATAAGGAAAAGGGGAAGGACAGTAACTGACAACTTCATAGCTACGCCGCCGCTAGAGCCTTCGAAAGGCTATTCCACATACTCCCCATATGATAGTAAACCTCTCCCGCCGCCCGACAACAGCGGCGCATATAAACCCACCCGTCTGCCGCCGCCGCGTGTAGACACCAGAGCAGCGGGTACCTCCCCCTCTCCATAACCACAGCTAAACACACCAGCTAACCATCCCCCCTAGACCGCCCCTTCACCCGCCCAGACCAACTCACCCCCGTCTCAGCCTCCAGCGAGTCCCGCAGTGCCTCCCCCATGACCCCCAGCGACGCTCTGCGCTCGCCGTACCTGCGTGCCCTCGGCGCCGCTCGCACACAGATCAACGACCGCTCCTCCCCCGACTCCCTCGCCACCAACTCCGATAGCCCTTTCCCGCCGTTCCCGCCGCCGAAAAATCCGCACCTGGCGAGGTCGCAGCAGTACGCTGAAGCGGACCCGAGATATGCGCCTGTGAGCCCGCGGCTGGGTCAGGGAGGGCTGCTGACGAGGATGAACACTATTGCTCCCGGCCCATTCGATATCAAGGGACGCCGAGGCCAGCGCAAGGGTGCTGAGAAAGGGGGAGACGAAGAGCCAACTCACATGCACTCGAAATCTACCGACGGCCGCGACCACGGCCGCAGTGCCTCATCCGGCTCCTCCATGTCCTCGCGCTCACCACCGCGCATCGATATTCCCCCAATTCCTATCCGAACTGAGCGCCCCGGCGGCTATGGCGGCTTCGGGCCACCACCCTCGTCATCACTGGATGCGCCTCCGCCCCCTACGCCTGCGAACAGGAGTAACACCTTCCCTAAAGCTGCACCGGGCGGGAGCAACTTCGTCGGTCTACCGCGACGACCATCCGAGTCCGCGCGCCCTCGTCACCCCTTAACACCCACCGTCGCATCCACCAACTTTGACGGCCCAACCTTCGTTCGCACCTCCCCTCCCCGCGACCCGCACGCGCGCCGTCCCTCTATCACACCTCCCCCACCGCCTCGTGGAGCTCCGCTTGCACGCAAAGAGAGCACAGCGGGGATAAACCTCGACGCCGAGTTCGGGGCGCAAAACCCTTTCCACACACCCTCCGTCTCGCAGTCGTCTAGCGACTCGAGCCACTCCCCGCGTAGCAAGACAAGTTCGCGCTCTAGCCCACCGTCATCGGTCGAGCCGCCGCGACGGAGGCAGGAGAAGAGCGCTATGGGCGGTTTTGACGGGCTGATGCAGGATCTCGAGCAGGCCATCGCGGAGGTGTCGTTACCGCAGCCACAACAGCCAGCTGTGCAGGACGCGAGAGGGAGGAGGAACCTGGACCCTTCTCTCCTTTCCCCCGAGTTCGCAGACCCAGCAATCCAATCCGGAGTCCGCTCCCCCGGCCTCCCACGCTACCAAAGAAGCGACGGGCGCTACGACCCGCAACAAGGCCACCCCCCCGGCGCCCCTCCGCCCCCCGCCTCGAGCAACCCAACCCCTCCCTCCGCCGCCCCTCACAACCGCACTCCCCCAGATGCTGCCCCTCCACCGCAGCAACCGACAATATGGATCCGCATACCGGCCCGCCCCCGCGCCGCCCCTCAACAGCCAAGGGCGCGTGCAAAGCGTGCCAGCTGCCGATAACGGGGAAGTCGCTGTCGTCGTCTGATGGGCGGCTGACGGGGCACTATCACAAAGCCTGTTTCGCGTGCACGACGTGCCGGGCGCCGTTTGCGACGGCGTCGTTTTATGTCCTGGATGATGCGCCGTATTGCGCGCGGGATTACCATAGGTTGAATGGGAGTTGTTGTGGGGGGTGTGGGGGTGGGATCGAGGGGGCGTGTTTGGAGACGGCGAAGGGGGGGGGATGGGGGGGAGGAAGTTCCATCCGGGGTGTTTGGTTTGTAGTGATTGTAGGGGGCCGGTTAGTGAAGGGTATTTTGAGCTAGCGGGGAGGGTGTATTGTGAGAGGGATGCGATGAGGAGGGCGCAGATGAGGGCGAGAGGACGGGGGGGGATGTTGGGGGTTGGTGGGGGGATGGGGAGGATGGAACGTAGGACGACGAGGTTGATGGTGATTTGAGCGGAGATTTTGTTGTTGTGGTTTGTGGTTTGTGGTTTGTGTGTTGTGTGGCGTATACCCCGATTCTTACTTTTGTTTTGGCAGGTTTTGTGCGCGTTTTTGTTGGACGGATTTGGGCCTGTTTGGCATTGCGAGGGCGAGATTAGTTAATGTGTTTGTGGATGGATGGATGGATGATGGGATCTGAAGTACATATAATCAATAATAGATATGGGGCACGAGGTGCTGGTTGTTACTCACTGCGTTTGTTTATCACTTTCCCTTGTGATCATGGTGGCGCTCTCGGTGAAGTCTACTCATGAACAGCAGGTTCTTGGTAGGTTTGGTCTCCAAACCACCATGCCCAGCACTGAGGTCGGGTCGTTGTTGTCATTGTAATGCCTGGTTCTGTTTGCAAACGAGTAATGATGGACGGACTCATGATGGCGAATTCAACGCCTCCACCACACTGACGGGAGCAGACCACGAGCAGACCACGAGCAGATATAAAGATAACAGGTCATACCATGGCCATCGTAAGAGGTTGACGGAGTAGAAGAATTTGTAAAAAGAGGTTGTGCGTGTTGAAGCTCTCGAAGGAAGTAAGGGGAGCAAACAAACGCGCGCCTCCTCCTTGGCTAGTCGAAACTGATACAAACGGACACCTCTATCTGCCCCTCCCCCACCTCCAAAAGGGGATTTAAAGATCAAAAATGCAAAAGACCATCAGATCTCGTGGTGGGCTGAGATCTGATGTAGAAAATCACTTGATTTTACTTTAAGAGTTGATGGAAGGCGAGGATTGTTTTTCTTTCTGGATAACGGGGAACCGAACCGCTTTCCTCCTATTTATCCACCCCTGGCCAGATTGTCCTGACAGTGGTACTTCCACTGCGCCACTGTGCCGCTTGATTGATGAAGAGTTAAGTTGCTTTATATTGTTGGGTTGGGTCGCCTGGTGTTGGAGGGTGTTGGCCTGAGGATGGATGGGGGAGAAGGGAGGAGGGGAGGGGTTAGGAGGGGGAGATGGCAGATAGGTTGATCTTCCCGTCCTTCTCCTCCATTACCTTCTTTCCTTCTCCTCCCCAATCATCCCCCATCAGCATCTAGACTACCAGATTGGGTTTTATGTTCTACCAGTCAGGATATAAGGCCCAGAGTATTATATGTTTCAGCTCACGTTTGTCAGACACTCTCTCACTTGTTCCAGCATTTCAATTATCCCAGAAGACGTATCAGAAGAGCATTGTTATCAAAGACTATACAACCTCACTGTCATACAATGCCACCCTCTCCCACCATCCACTCCTTCTTCAAGCCCATCTCTTCTTCCACTCCCAACAACACACCCTCCTACCCAGGCGACGGTTTCACTCCCACCGACCCATCTGCCGACTCATCCACAGACCCGCTCTATACCCCTTTCGCCCCTACACGAACATACACACAGCATGCCATCGTCGCTCTCACTGCTGGCTCGCGACCAGTCCGTTTCCAAGGCCGAGTCGCCAACTTCAGGGTAACATATGGCAAAAGCAAACGCGTGAGTGCGGCTAAAGGATGGGTGGGCATGATGGTGCATGATGGCACAGGTGGGATTTATGTTGGTCTCCCCGTTTCCCGTCCCTCCCTTCCATCCTGTGATACTGCCGCCAAACGAAATACAGAGACGAGCCCAGCTAACCACGCCGTGACACAGGTTAAACTCTACTTCTCCCCCCTCCCACCACCCCTCCACCTCACCCAGCTCATCACAATATACACCCCCCACCTCGTCCGCGCCTCCTCCCTAATCTTCGCCCCCTCCCCCTCCCCCCTCTCCCCGCCCACCACCCCATGCACCCCCCTCCAACCCCCCACCCCTCTCGGAACCTCCATCTTCCCCGGCCGCGACTCCGGCGTCCACCTTATCCTCCACCCCCCAACCTCCTCCCCAACCCTCTACCGCACCCCCCTCTCCTCCCCCACCGGCCAAATGACCCTCTCCTCCTTCCTCACCAGCGGCCACGAGCTCCCCGCTGCGCGCCTCCTCCTCGTCTTAACCGCCATCCACCCCTCGCGGAAAGTCCATAAAAAGGACCCTCCCAGCCCAGGCCACCCGGCGCGGATGACTGATTTCGTGGTCTCGGAATTGGTACTGGCGGATCGAACGGGGGAGTGCAAATTAACGCTTTTTGACCATGCGACGGTGCCGTTTAAGGTGGGTACCGTGCTGTTGATTACGGGGGCGACGATGAAGAGGGGCGGAGAGAAGGCGTGTATTTCCCTGGGACAGGAGAGTCTGGTGGATGCGGAGCCGGAGGTTAAGGGGGTCGAGGTATTGAGGAGGTGGGCGGAAAAGGGGCAGAGGTTAAGTACGAAGAGGCAGGAGATTCCGGACAAAGTGATGGAGAAGTTGGAGGAGACGGTGGGGGAGGCGGGGTTGTATACCCTTGCTGAGTTGGAGGAGAGGGTGCGTGAGGAGGAAGGGGGGTGGACGTTGTGGTTGAGTTTGGTGGTTGGACAGCTGAATCTTGTGAGGGTTGTGCGGAGGGGGATGGCGGGAGTTGGGGAGTGGTAAGGCATAATATTTCTTTCGTCATTCTAACCCTTTGACATATCGTTTTCGTTCTACAATCTGTTTTGTTGCATACGTTTCTGTGGATTGGCAAACTAATTATCGCCGCAGCTGCGGAATCCCGATCTACTCCCCCGAACCCACCGCCCCATGCCTCACCTGCGGCACAATCCAAACCCTATCCATCAACCCCGCCATAATAGGATTATTACTTGATGAAACCGGCGCGCTTGAAGCAGAAAAACTACAATGGATGCCAAAAGCGTGGAAAGAGCTTCTCGGGGAAGCCGGAGCGATGGGGATACTAGGCGGGAATAAAGAGGCTGAAGATGCGGCCGCGATAAATGAAATAAGAGAGATGCAGCAGAGGATCACGGGGTTGAGGTTTAGTTTTCTGATGGGGTGGTCGGGAGAGGTTGGGAGGTTATGTGTTCTGGGAGTGAGAATGTGATGAAGGCTGGTTTGGAGATGTGCCTGGTGCTTGCTTATGGCCGACTGGCATGAGGAGATAATAGGGGGTTGCTGAGCGTAAGGGCTACATTGGAAGGCATGTGTCCATATACTGGCTTATATCTTGCCATAGACATATTTCTCGCAATAGCGAAGGGTTCACACGATTTCTGGGAGAGGATCTTTAGTAGTTAGTTCTGGAACTCCATTCACTCTCACTCTCACTCCAACAGCTACCTAGCAGTATATACATTGTCTCTGTCATATGTGACTTCCAAGCTGTTCCCCTCTAGACATCTTCAGATCCAACCCCCTAAGCACCAGACCACAACCAACCCCTTCTAACTCCGCCACGCAGACGGTGTAGCCGCCGCGCTCGACTCCACCTCAACCCACAAAAGAAAGAGAAATCCACTCACATTGTCCCCAATGCGCCGTACGCACGCACCCTCGCAACCGTCGACGTTGCCGGTGCTGCTCAAGTAGTGGAAGTAGCCATCGTCGTCGGCGCCACCGTCGTCGATTCAGCAGGCAAATAACCCTTAAACACTGCGAATGAAACTGATTCGAGTAGAAGAAAAACCAGTCCGGCTCGCCCTTACAGCACGTTGGGCCTGCATACCCTTGTCGCGCCTGTGGTTGTCAGTGCCGTCTACTACTCCCTATCCTGAGGGGGTCGGGGCAATCTTACATTGACCCCAGTTCGCGGCTCCGCTACTGGTCCCAGCCGCGCCGCCGGCACAGAGACGGAGGCGCCGCCGACGCAGGAGGGGAAGCCGTCGCCTCGGTCTTGGCAGAAGGTGTTGGCGGAGCAGATGGAGGGGTTGTCGGCGCCTGGGGGGTGTTAGGGGAGCGTGTTGGGGGGTGGGGGGACGAACATAGCTGTGCTGATGCGGATAGGACGAGGAGGGGGAGGAGAGCTAGGGAGCGCCTTTTGGTGGTTGGCTAGAGAGAAATTGGGGAGGGAGTGCTTGGTCTTGATGTCTATCTGTGTCTAGATTCCCGGGCGACGTTCTTGTCGTTCATATATATAGCTTCTACTCGGGGCAAGGAGCCCTCCTTCCCTCCCGACGGACATCGGAATACAGAAAACTCACCCACTATCGTCTGATAGAATCATGAGACCTCAATTGCTGACTGCATCGCGCACAATATATCGATACACGACTGATAGATTGAAACCGCAAAACGCGGGGTAGCAGAGGGATTGAAAGTAAGCAACACCCCCCAATGCAACGCCCCCAGGGCAGAGCGTGTTGAAGAGGGTGTTCCAGACTAGGTGCGGTAGTTGCGGCGAGGCCGGGTTAATCAATAAATGCAAGCTTTGGCGGGGTTTAGGATAAAAGGCGGGGGGAAGGGCCGCACGGAAGCGCATTTGAGCCGTTGAGGCTAAAGGGGGGGATTTAGAGTTGGGGCGTCTTTTGCTTCTTTCGTGGGCTTGGGTTGTAGGTTAATTTGGGGACAGCGGGGGAGTTTGTTTGGGTGTTCGGGTTGGCAGGATTTGGTTGGATTTTACCACCTATTAGATCTTTTACAGGGCTGTATCTCAGAAGTCACATTTCAGAGCAAGTCAAGATATAAGAATCGTAGTGTCAAATTAATCGTCGCTATTCGCTACCCCCCATTTCTTGACTGCATTATTTTCATGTATACATTCGTATCACACAACAAGACTCAAAATATCCTTCACAAATGATCATCCTCCCTGATCCACCCCTCCCATCCGTCTTCTCAAAAAGTATACCCCCCGTATTACTTCCCAAAGCCGAAGCCAAAAGCCGAAGCCAAAAGCCACCAGCCAAAAACACAAAAAGTAAAACCCAACGCTTCCATGCCACCCCAAATCGAATCCAAACAGCGCGAACAAAAAAAAAGGCCCAGCTGCAAAAAACAGCAGAAGCAAGCTGGGCCCGGTATCTAGCAAAGTACAGACACAGGATAGTAGTAGTAGCAGTAGTAGTAGCAAAGAAAGGGGTAAATAAGACAATGATAGCGATTGCGATTTGCCGGTTTTTCTCAGTACGCCAAACCACTTTTAGATTTCGTCCCAGTCGTCAGGGGGGATGCAGCAAGTAGATTAGGCGCCGATAAAACGGAGTAAGAGAAAAGTCCAGTAAAAGTAGTAGTAGCAGTAGTAGTGTAGCAAGTTTTGACCAGGACTCGGAAACACCGAGCGGAGATTTTGTTTTTTCGCCCCGTGCCGCCGGCCCAAATATGAGAGAGAAAACGCCATAGAGAGTGAAGGCGTCGTAATAAACAAAAAATCGAAAAAGTTGAGTGGACCAGTAGTACCCCAGATGTTTGAAGGTGTCAACTCGTCCTCCAATGCCCGTCTCAGCCGTTTAGACAGCCTTGTTCCTGCGCCCGAACATGCGCGAGAATCCGCCCTGCTCCTTCGCGATAGGCCGCGAGCTAGGTGGGGGCAGGGTGTTCGTGAGGAAGTCCGCGAGGTCTGAAGAGGGCGTGTTGCGGGAGTGCGTGGCCTCGCGTGGAGACGGCTTCTGGCTGGCACGCGATCCCGGCTTTCGCTGTAGGGTGACATGAGAAGCGTAGTTGGAGCGGGGACGGGGCGGGGTGGTTGAGTAGGAGGGAGAGATTGGTGTGTGTTTCTTGGTCTTGGGGGAGGCGGAGGGGTGCTGCGGGAGGGACGAGTTGCGCGGAAGGACGTTGTTGCGCGCAAGCACCGAGTTGCGGGTTGAAGTGGAGGAGGATGAGGCCGCGGAGTTGGAGCGCGAGAAGCGCGCCATGATTGTCTTCTTTGGTGGGGGCGCGGTAGGCTCGTCGAAGATGGAGCTCATGGTCGACGTGTCAGGTGGAGGGACGCTGTTCAAGAAGTCGATGAGCGATTCTTCAACGCGCTTGGGAGGACCCTCGGGAAGGGTGAACTCATCCTCATCATCTTCATCATCGCTGTAATCGATAGCATACGGATCCTTGACACGGTGGGTCTTGCGCTTCGGCTTCATGTCCTTTTCGTCGAACGCATCGAGATGGACCTCTGGCAGGGCGGGCTTCTTCATCGCTGAGCTAGAATTGGCTGTGGTCGAGGTGTGTATAGATGTGTCCATGGAGAAATTCATGTGGGGGTCGCGGCCCTCTGGGAGGGTGGAGAGGCGATTGCCAGAGAGTGCGGTGGACATTTGGTCCGAGTCCATGGTGGTGCGGAATGGAGCGACAGTACGGGGGATTCTGGGGTTGTCATGGCTTTTGTCACTCGGTGGTCCCTGACGAATGAAGTCAATCAGCTCCGAAGACGACAGATTGTCCCGTTGGACCACTGCATCGCGAGCTTGAAGGCGATTGCGGTTTCCGGTTGAAGCCAGAGACTTGGCCACGACAATTGGCACGGACGGAGCGCTGATTAGATGAGCCGAGATATTAGCTTGACGAGGTGGTGGCTGAACAGCAAAGCTATCACGGCTCTGGGGCGGCCCAGTAGATCTAATGAAGTTTGCAAAATCGCTGATCGACTCGCTCGTAACCTTGGCATCTCTCGCCTGTGGCGCGTTTGGCCTGACACGTGCCCCAGACTTTGGAGGAGGAGCAGATCTCACAGCAGGGTTTGGAGCAAAACGAGTACCGCCCACCGGTGACTTCGGGATATCAGACGCCTCTTTACCATTGCCAAAGAATGTTGAGACTTTAGGCGAGCTTGCAGAATTGCCACCGAAGAAGCTGGCGACCATGGGCGAGCCAAGTGGCGTGGATCGTGGTCCGAAGCTGCTCTGCCTTGGAAGCAATGGGCTCTCGGGGATGTCCTATACAGGTTAGTGAGTGTTTTTTTTTCTAAGAAAAGACTAGATTGAACTTACATCAATGCCGCGCATATTGGAAGGCGTCAGGGTGTACTGAAGGGTCGTCTCGCTCCGAATAAGTTGCTCGAAAGTCTGTCCCTTGTCCTCAATTGCACTAGTGCTCTCCTCGGACGTGCGAATAGGTCGGACCTTGTAAGACTTGATGGAGGAGCTCGACGAGCCCTGTCGAGCTGACTTGTTGAGGAACTCCGGCTTGGGGCCCGTGTCCTCCTCACGGTGTGAGCGTGGGGGCGAGGATCTGGCGACTGATCGATCGGATGCATTCGTTCGGTTTCGGGTGTGAGCGTCTTTCCTGCCTGGTCCAGAATAGCTTCCCGCTGGGAGATCAGACTGGAAAATCGAGGCATCGGAATAGCTTGGAGCAATAGAGGAAGCTTCATCCGAGGTGTCTGGTGCATTTTCCATCATCTCACGGAGAGGAGTAAGAGGTGGGGCGGAAGTTCCACTGCCTGGCGAGTCCACCTGATCTGTACATGTCGGTTTAAGAGATGCTGGTGTGCTAGGGGCTGCCAGAGAATCAGCGTCGCGTGTAGATTTTGGACGAGGTGCTGTGCCGAGAAAAAAATTCGAGTTACGATAAGAATCCTGTGGGATGACGGCAAACTGAGTATCCTGGACAGATAATGTCTCCGAGGTAAGTTTGGTCTTCGGGCTTTCGCGCAGGGGAGAGCGGACAGGAACCGGAACAGATCGAGGAACGGTAGCGACATATAATCCCAGTCCTAGGTTTTCAGGCTCAATAACTTCCGGTAGAGAAGCCTCCGAGTCCTTGCTGACCTGGTTAATCAAAGGAGATGGGGCCTTGAGTATGGGGCTGCCTGATGGTGTCTTCTGGACTGGGCTGGTACCCCGCGAAGCTGCCGCGTCTGTACCTTCAGCACCCTTCAGACTCGGAGGACGTGAAGTAAGATCACTAGATGCGTGACATGAACTTGGCCTGCGAGGCGAAGACACTTCAATCAAGCGGATCGAGTGCACACTGGCGGATCGCTTGGAACGAACGCTCGCGGGACGGGCTCCGATTGCAGTAGCGCCAGCTGCAACTCTGGCAATCAACCCACCTTTGTGAGAACTATATAACTCATTTTTAGAGTGTGAGACCGTCTCCGATTCCGATGACTTCTCGGCATCCAATTCTCTCGGGATTTGAGATACAATCTTCGACTCCTTGGAAGGCTCCTCAGCGGCCAAGACATAAGTATCCTCAGAGTCTTGCGACACGGTCCTGGAAAGTGCTGGGATTTCGGATTCCTTGTCCTGTTCCACAGCTGGTTCTTTATCCTCGTCGGTTGACTTGCGCCTTTTCATTGGCGAAGCAAAAGCCGAGGCCGCTGGAGATGGCAGAGAGTGGGATCGCTTCCTCGACTCGGCGGAAAGGAAACCGGGTGTTGCGGGTTGCGAGTTGGTCGGTGTAGGGAGGCCTTTGGTGTTGGCTGTGAAAATCATCATGCTCTTACGGCGATATTGCTTGGGCTCGTCCACCTCATCATCTGCCTCGTCTCCACTCTGGTCTGCAACTCCGGGTATCTCGATTTCTCTCACATCATCTTCGCCCATTGGAAGTGGGATGGTCGCTTCGAAAAGCACGGGTTCCTCATCGTTTGCTGTCGGTTGTGGGTGGCCCTCGTCTTCTTCTTCGGGTTCGTTGATCGGAGTGTCCTGAAATCTATGGTTGATTTCGGGAACTTGGTGCTCTGGGGCGAGGCTGCCTCTGCGGCTGTGAGGACGCGATTGCATCGAGTTTCTAGAGTAAGATCGGCGAACGCTGTGTGAAATAGATGCGTTAGGAGAGCGTATGCGTTTCTTCCACCCTCTCCAGAGCCTGCCAAGTGTCCTATCCAGGGCAACGCGCTCCATATCGACGTCTTCAACAACGACACGGTCTGCCACGTTCTTGGGGACGCTGCTTCCATCTCTCTCGTCTTTTTGCTGCTTTGAGCGAATGCGGTGGTACGCGGCTTGTCCTGCTACGGTCAATGCCTGCTCGCCCATAAATTCGAGAATTGAAGTCAGGAAGATCGCAACTGCAGGTGAGACCACGCCTAACGAGTTGGAGTATCTGTTGGTAGATCCTGGCGGGCCATCCAAGTGGTCCAGCTCTGTGTAGTGATCTTCATCCTCCTCTTCCATATCGCCCAGTGATGAATACACCATGCAGCGTAGACGTGTGCGTTTCCACACCAGCTCCAAATCCCAGTCTCCACTCGGCTCAATGCCATTGTGAAATGAGATCAGCTCTTCATCGTCACCACCTCCCAAGTATTCCTCCAATTCTTGGTCGGCTTGGTGAATTGCCTCCTTTGCAAGTTTCGGCTTTAGGGTTTCGACCACAGCGGGCCTAAGCGAAGCAAGAGATGTTGATTTCGAGATGGCGAGAAAGTTGAAGAGTAATTGATCGAGAAAGTTGTTTACCAACTTCAGTGCCCCTGGGTTGACCAAGGCGATCTCTCCGGAAGGTTCGAGGCCATGCTGGTCAAACCAGGCTTCGGAATGGCTATCATGGTCGTTTGTGACGATCTGTGAGGCCGCTGAAATGGCAAGAAAGAGCGGCTGCGGTTGAACGAGTGCTGGAGGTGAAAGCATCGCGCTGTGCCCGTTTGCTGAGGGTTGATCACTGGAGATGCTGTGAGACCTGGCTCTATTCAGAGACGAGGTTGTGACACTACTATTGTCGGGCCCTGTAGGCGAGGTAAATCCTGAGAAAGCCATATCGAGAAATGAGGATCAGCACTACGGTGGGGCGCCAGGACGTCAATTGACGCGCCCTCCCTCGTTTATAGAAGGAGCCGTCGTATTCTGAATTATCTGAACTTGATCAAGCAAAGTTGCAAGTTGTATAAGTCGTGAGAATGGTTCGATTGAAGGTAAGAGAGTCAATATATGCAAGAATCGCAAGTCTGCATGGAGGTGTCCAGAGTTAGCCACTTTGCTCCACAACCCGATTTCACTATTGAGACACCGCTGTATGATCGCCCCCAGGTGCCGTCCCGGTGCAGTGACCAGCAGTCAGAGTGCCAACTGAGCAAACTTGCCGTGTTTGATGCGCTGCCAGTATCAATTGAGGGGGTGGGAGGTATGGGGGGAGTAGTTCGTAAACAGCGTAAAGCGTAAACACCGTGAACACACGACTGAGAGGCCCTCTGAAAGAATCGGCGATCCCTGCCACTCCAAGCAATTATGCTCCTCTGGCACCAGATTGGACCTTGGATTTGGCTCGGTTTCGGTGATAGGAAAGAGGGCGAACGTACCAGGTAAAGCTACGGTTGCGAGAGTGAATGAAGGGCGAGAATGTTGTATTATGTTTGTATAATTCAGATGCGACTCTCAGATCGGGAAAGCCATCATCTGTGCAGGGTGAATTCGTTATTTCGTTTGTTGTTGTGATGAAGAGGGAAGTGAAGTTGCGAAAGGCCAAACGTCGCCAAGAAGAACAAATTGAGGGACTGCAGACCCTCTTAACCTCTTAACTGGAACTCTGGGGACTGGGGACCACCTGTGTCTTGTCTTGAATACCAAAAACTACTGAATACTAAGGAATAGACTACTGACTGATACATACGACGACGACTTTCTGTACTGTACTCCGTACTCCGTACATGACTCCTTACTGTACAAGATCGCCAGGGCACTCCGAGGGGCACAGGATCCCCCTTCTCACTTCTCATCCCTATACCTTGCTTGGACAGAGTACTAACACGCGCCAGAAATGATAGAAACCATACAATACCGAACATACCGAACATGGCGAACAAACCAAACCTATAAGGGCATAGACCACACGGCGATATTCCTACAAACTCGACCCAGATGGCACCCAGAGCGCTACTGCTCACTTCCTAATAGGGCCACTCAGATCCTCAGATCCTCAGATCCTCAGATCTGCATATCCCCTGCTGCTCATCAGTGTCTTATCGGGTCTCACGTCGTCCCAAAGGGGAAGCGAAATAGGGGGACGGCATTCCCTAGTCGTCGGGCCAAACCTGCACTACTCGACGATATTACCCATATTACCCACCCACCATCCACGGACGACCAAGGTTGCGATATAAAGTCTCATCCAGCCCATATTACTGGATCGGAGCGGAAAACCCACTCGTTCTGGTCTCTCTGCGCTTGCGGCGCTGCGGCTTTCCGACCCAAGAACGGACCAAAGCCACAAGATCTGCCAACCATTGTGGGATGCAAACACAAGTGCGCCTTTCCGCTCCACGTGCATCCGACGCAGCTTGATTGCCGTGCGACGTAGTACGGGAGAGAGCGCCGAGCCTGTGAGGCTGCCGAACTGCAGCCTCACAGGCTCATGTCGGCGCCACTCTCCAAATCAATAATCCCCTTGCATCTCTGCAGCGCACTGAGCCGGGATCATGAGACAAGAGGTTGCATCCCCTCGCAGCCCTCCCACACCGTAACTCGCAAAACCGCCGCTCCCTCGTCGCAAAACCGCCACTCCCTTCGCAAAACCGCCGCTCCCTCCTCGCAAAACCGCCGCTCCCTCATCCGCCGCTCCCTCCCCAGCGCCATGGTATTATATAGGTATATAGTAGTGCTCGTTCTTTGGTAACAGGGGACCCATGTAGTAGTTCCACCTCGACGCTGTTCTAGTTTTTATTGGACTACATTTCTACAAGGGGGGAGACGATCATTGCACGTTTAACAATTATTGTCCCAAAGTACTGTACGAGTATAGTAGTACCGTAGGACGTATACGGAGTACTCCGTAACTTATATCCTTTCCCCAACACCTCCAGTCCCAAGCCTCCAAGCCAATTCCCGCGCAAAAAAATCCCGCCGTCGGCGATGCATTTCCAACTTTACCCCGCCGCCGGACCCCATCTCCTGTTCCAGGAAACATATATTAGACGGAGCGAACGGGTGGGTTGCGTGCTGCGACCTTGGCTGCGGATTTGCCCAGGGGCGTATGCGCGCTGCGACGCTGAGGTGAGGGCGAGTAGAACATGTATGGCATGTACAGTACCTCCACGCAAGGGCTGAGGGTCTGAGGGGGCCTCGGTGGTACTCCGGGGTTCGCGACGGCGAGGGCGCAGGGAAGCGATGCCCGGTCAGATAGCGGAGGGGATGTGGATGCAGTTAGCACGTGGCGAGCGATGCTGTGCCTGGCGCTAGAAGACGACGTCTGGGCTGATGAAGGGATAGGTGGTGAGTCTGTGCTGTAAGATTAATTTGGTAAAACGAGTTCACGTATTCTGCTGTAGGCGTTCCCCCTTGCCGTCTCGGAAGGGAAGGGCGGATTCTGTACAGCTCTTCGGTCAGAGAGTGAGTGTCTCACTTGTATCTGACTTCGATCTACAAAACATACAACTCAACCAAAAAAGAATATACAAAGGCTGGTGGAACATGTATATTGTCTATCTCTAAGGCGTCCCTAAGATCCCCCCATCGCGAGAAATTGCACCCACGTTGCGCCCCCAGACAGTGATCCATACAGGCCGAGGCCTCAACTGTCACTTATCCCTAGGCAGCGCAAAGCATGCGTGGGACACATCCCACCGTTTTTCCCCCCAACAAGCACATACATCGTAAAATCAACTTTGCACACATTGCACACACCCCCTCGCTTCATCTCCCTCCCCGTATATCGTCCCCGCCCCATTCCAGCCCTCCTTCCAAGATCGCCACGAGTCGGCTCAGCAAATGTGGCCACCACGCCCCTCAGCTCCTCTCCGGGCCCGCGAGGGCCCGCGAGGGCGCTGGCTGTCGTCCAGCTAGGCTGCGTCGAGACGCCGCATCGATCGGATAGATGGGTGCTACGTGTTTCCGAAGACAAAAGGTTTAAAAGGTCCATTCGACCGCTCTCCGCCCAATCAGTCGTAGCCCCCGCCGACCTGGCTCGCAAAGGCAGTGGACACGCTCTTCTCGTCATCGTCGAGAGTGCGTCGTCCAGCGCCGCTCAGCAGCGAGCTGCCGCCAAACACGCTCCCGGCGTCGCCGGTTTTATAGTCGGGCAGGCGCCCGCCAGACTCAACGTATCGCTTCAGGCGGTCCGATTGGCTCAGGCTTGTCTGCTTCTGGTCGTGGACTGCCGGCCCGAGGCTGACGCCGCCTTGGCTTGCGCCTTTACCGTCGAGCACGCTGCTAGTGGTGTCGGTCATCTCACTGGCGGCGATGGATTCACCAGTTACGCTTTCGGCGGGGCGGTTGCGGCTCTTTTGGCCGTTGGCGCGGTTGCGGGGGTCTAGACCGGGCCAGCTGTTGTCAGTTGCGAAGCTAGAGAACATCTGCGGGTAGGCTGAGCCGACGCCGACTCCCCCGAGGGCGGAGGAGTGGACGGACGAGACGTCATCGGGAATGTACCCTAGCATAGAACCGGCGTCGCTGTAATCGTTGCCAGTCTTGCCATTAGGAGGTCGTGCGTTACTCGGTAGTCCAGTAGAGTAAGACATCTGATAACGCTGAGGTCCGCGGTAGGTGGTCTTGGGGCGGCTGAACTGCAGAAGCGAGGTTTGCAGGTTGGTGAGTGGCCCCTCAACCAGGCAGTTGCGTTCCTTGAAATGCTGGAGGAGATAATGCCAAAGAGGGTGCTTGGACAGAACCTTGGGGTTGCCCAGAATGACCAGGCCGTACTTGGCACGGGTCAGAGCCACGTTAAGACGACGAGGGTCGCTCAAGAAACCAATGCCTTGGTGGTCGTTGGATCTAACGCAAGAAAGCACGATGAAATCCTTCTCTCTGCCTTGGAATGCATCAACGGACGCAACCTCGATCTCCTTGTAGTTCTCCTTCTTGAAAGTGCCCGTGTTCTGCATAGAACTGACGACGTAGCTGCGCTGTCCCTCGTAAGGTGTGATGACACCGATATCAGCAGGCTGAACGCCAGCCTTGAAGAAGCGCGTGACAATTTTCTCGACATTAGACGCCTCAGTTCGGTTAAGGTAAGAGGTACCCGAAGCAGAAATTTCTTCGTTACCCAGGTTGGACCAGAACATCATTGGGGTGTCGCCAACAGGCCAAGGGAAGTCAACGTCGCGACGGAGTCTCTGTTGCATCGTGACACCGTTCTGAAGAGAGCCTTCGTAAAACATGTTTGAAGGGAATTCAGATAAGCATGGATGCATACGATACTGCACGTTAAGTCTGATAGGAGCAAGTCCAAGAATAACAAGACGCTCAAAGAGCGATTGGTTCAGGCCAGCCTTTGCTGCCTTCTTGTTCATAATGACTGGGCCCAACTGTTGGTGGTCACCAACAAGAACAACCTGCTTACAACCCAGAACCAATGGAATCATGCATTCAGGCTCGGCAGATTGGGTGGACTCGTCGATAAGCACAGTCCTGAACTTCATCTTAGACAGACGAGGATCGCCAGCACCAACGCAGGTGCAGCAAATAACGTCAGCGTTGTTCAGGATCTCGCGCTCAGCGGCTCGGGTAAGAGATTTGAACTTCTTCTCATCCTGGCTGGACAATTCACCCAATTCGCTCTTAAGCTGCGAGAGTTTCGTCAACTCGAGATTGCTATCGTTCATTCGTACCTGCTCGTGCAGAGATAGGAAGCCAACGGAAGATTCGACATCTTCACGAGACTTGGCAGTAAGACGAACAACCTTCAATCCGGTTCTATGGATTCTCTCGCAGAGCTGGTCAACTGCGACGTTGGAAGGAGCGCAGACGAGAACTTGGCCACCATTGACTTTAGATAGATGATAGATGACTGTAGCAGATGTGACTGTCTTTCCAGTTCCTGGAGGTCCCTGAATAAGACTCAGGGGCTTCTGAAGGACGCTCTTAACGGCATTGATTTGGCTGCCGTTGAGCTCGGGAAGGCCGGGAACGCTGAATTTCTTTGGCATTTGGATCTTCATTGGAGCCGCAGCAACTTCATGACCAAGTAGCTTGTGGAAGATGTAACCAGAGACACTCATTTCGTCAACCGCAAAGGTCTTCATGGCCAGTTGCATACGATCGTATGAAGTAGCCTTCCAGACGTAGTCAGCGGAGAAGTTGTGAGTGCATTCAGTTGGCACGGATTTATCGTTTCCGATCTTTCGCAACTCAATCGTGACTTCGTCAGACTGGTTGTTCGGAATCTTGACAACGTATCCAACGCCTTCCCAGACGGGACGTAACTCTCCCTTGTATTTGAGGCGCATCTCGTCGCCAACAGCCAACTTAACATCTCCAAGCTCGATTTTAGGAAGCACGAAGCTAGCAAGATGCTTGTTGTTAAGACCATAGTCCCAGCGAATAACCAGTCCGTCCTCGGATTGGGCTTCTTTCAGCTTGCGGTCGTAGTCTGCCTCGATCTTCACAAGCGGGCCAAAGACGTTCTGATACTGGTAGGCGTCGTCGTACTTCAGAAGTACGGGAGCAGGTTCATCATCGATTCCTGCTGCCTTTTCCAAGTCTGCAATGGTCGCTGCGGCATTATCCTTCCACATTTCCTCCAGTTTTGCGATCATTGGCGGGGTCAAGTGGCGAGCTCGGAGCTGCTCAGCATCGCTGGGCACGGCCACGAGCCACGGTAGGAAGGATCTATCTTCAATCAAAGGTTGCCATCTGGAGATATCCCAGCTCATGTCTTTGGACGAAGGTGTAGACGCGCAGGGCTGTCTGCAGAGCAGCACAACCACAGTGTCGGATTTAGCCGGAATAAACCCAAGTAGGAAGACATTCTTAGTCCCACAGTTGTAGCATTCGAGAACAGTGTCGCCCAATGTTGATTGGGGGTGTAGCTGAACTTCCTTGTGGCGAGCCCGAACCAAATGGTTGACAATGTGCGATGAGGAGGCGTTGCCACGAGCGCTACAGAACCATTTGGTGCAGCCCAAGCATTTAACAACGCTGCTGGGCGAATGGATACCGCAGTAGGCACATGCATGAGCCGGAAGCTCCTTCTCGTCTTCGACGCCCCTGAGTCCGAGAGATTTCATGCCATCGACGGCCATGCTTGCGAGGCTCTCTACATCGTCCTCGTCGTAGACTTCGGTCTCGTTGTCATCATCGTCATTTCTGCGACGAGTAGGTCCGAGGCCTCCCGCGCCACCATACTGGCCATAGAGGAGGCTCTCTTCGGGGTCGATAGCCGACAAATCGTCTCCAGCATTAATCGCAGCGGCGGAGTCTGAGATGAGGTGGTTTCCCAGATGGGTAAAGGCGCCCTCCATACTTGTCGGGCTTGTATCTAAGGAGTTCGGATTTTAAAAAGCGCCTACAAGCACAGCAAAAGTTAGCCTCAGTCCACAAATGTTTGCTCGTGGTTGCCGCGAGTCGCGGTAGAGGTCAGAATACTCACTGATCAGCCTTGTGGCGTAACCGCGGGGAATAGAGAGTCCAGAAGCGCGTTGCGTCTCAAGTCATGCTCGTGATCCTAATAGTGATTTTAAACTTCCTCAGAGGTGACGGAAGTTTTGACGAGCTTCGCGTGGGAATTGTGCGGAATCAAAGCTGTTCTAAGATTTCGAGGGAAAGGCCAAATGCAGATTACAGTAGCGGCGCGATAGTGCTCGGCAAAAATGACATCCAGCCGCATGAAAGGCTTGAGCTAAGAAATTATATTGTTGGCGAACTTCTCACATCAAAAAAACTTTCGACATCAACATCCACCATGCTGGTACGTACTAGACGCCCTTATAGATCTCTAATCATGTCGGTATTGAGGCTAATCAATTCTATAGCGCAAACAAGCCCGACAAAGGCGGGATTATTTGTATCGCCGTGCGATAACTCTTCGCGATGCAGAAACCTCAGAAAAACGCTCGAAGTTGAGGGCATCACTCGCCACAGGCAAACCGCTTGCTCCCGAGATTGCAAACGACAAGAAATTACGAGAAGATTACAAGTACGATGAGTCCCGGGCTGATTTGACGGCAAATGAGGAACTGGACTTAGACGACGAGTATGCGCAACTCTCCGGAATTGTCGATCCACGAGTTCTAGTCACAACGTCAAGAGATCCCTCCTCGCGCCTATCGTCCTTCGCCAAAGAGATTAGATTGCTTCTCCCTACATCCATTCGCCTAAATAGAGGAAATTTGGTTTTGGGGAATCTGATCCAGTCCGCCCAGGCCTCTGGACTTTCCGACATGATCCTACTCCACGAACATCGCGGAACGCCCACAGCCATGACATTGTCGCACTTTCCTCACGGCCCAACAATTTCGTTCTCTTTACATAACGTCGTCTTGCGCCATGATATCCCAAACAGCTCTCGTGGAACCGTCAGCGAGTCATACCCCCACCTCATCTTCGAAGGGTTCACGTCTCGTCTCGGACAGCGCATTGTGAAGATCTTGAAGCACATCTTCCCTCCCCGTGAGGCGGTGACAAACAGGACAAAGCTTGGCAGCAGGGTTGTGACCTTCAAGAACATCGAAGATACGATCGAGGTGCGACACCATGTGTTCGTCAAGACCGGATACCAGAGTGTGGAATTGGCAGAGGTTGGCCCGCGTATGAGCATGCGGTGCTTCGAAATTCGCGGCGGCACATTGGAGAATAAGGATGGCGACGTCGAGTGGAGGATGAACCAATACACTAGGACGAGTAAGAAGAAGGATTATCTGTGAGGGTCGGGGTGATGGATCTACATAGCGCGGCGTTGGGGAAACGGTAGGACAACTTACGAATGAAAACGGAAATTTCTCACTACAACTCCCTCACCGTCATGATAAGAAGCACCCAGCCGCGCAGAGTGTCAACTATCCAGGGAAACGCCCAAATGGTTGCTGCAATCCTGCTTGCCTCGTCGACTACAACTGGAGCGTATACGTTCAAGGGCATGGCGATGGTAGGGGCAATCGGAAGTGCATATGAAAGGCTGGCTTGATGGCAACTTTGAGAGCATATGGCGGCACTTCATCTTGATATAAATGCCAGCTCCCTGGGCGCCCTTTGAGCCAACGCTGCATTGTAGTCTCAGGAGAAACCCTCCTGTATGCATAGCGGGCATGCCGCAAAACCCGATTCCGAAGTGGCTTCAAAGAGTTCAACGTAGAAACTTTTACACCGTTGGACTGAGACACAATAGAGCGAATTGCCTTTGCCATGCTTTCCGTCCTCTGCGGAATACTGCATAGTTTGGCAGTGAGAGGCCTACGCCGTCCAGAACACACGACTACGCTGCGCTGTTAGGTACTAAATCAAGGATTACATAGATAGTATCATGTACGGGGCGCAGCTATGAAGAACACTATGTGCTAATATTCAACTTCTACATCCATTGAGAAAAAAATCTATGCCCCTTCGCAGAGTATTTCGTGAAACCCCACGGTTTGTCGTAGCCTTGCATGCCAAGTTGGTGGTCTGGGCCATCCGCCTCCACTGTCTGTCTGCTAAATGGCTCCTTTCGCCCGTGATGTTGCGGAACAAAGTGTGGGGTTAAAGTACATACTGGAGCTCTAGGATTTGCCTCGATTGAGGCTGTACATTAGAGAATTCCAAGCATAAATATATTTCCAATTCAATTTTCATACCCAGCATTGGGAGGCAGGACTATTTTTAATTTTTATTCGCCACATCAGATCCTTAGATAGATTAGGTGACGCAAGTTTTAACCTCTAGCGGCGGCTGAACCCTTTTCAGCCACTTTCCAGGATGATCATCACGACGTGACGTTATGACAAGGCCAATCGTAACGAGAGAAGCATTGTTACCTAGAATGCGATTTGGAGGATAAAAAAGACATCTTCAAACTTTATCATTAATATACATTGAAATTATATATAATCGGAACATTGCCGTCTTTTTGAATAGCTCCATTAGTCAATTTCAATCCGCAACGCTTCGTTCGTATTACAATCCAATTATCCGGACGCCCGGCGTTATTACTACGCCCCCCAGGCTTACGCTTCGTCTGACGTTCGAAGCTGATCAATTGTCGCGCAACGATAATAAATCCAGCAGCATTCGCCATTGAATAGGAGAAAGAGATTATCAACGGCGCGAAGTAATGTCTTATGCGCAGTACGACCAATATGGAGGAAATCCACACCGTGGCTCGACGCCAGGATATGATGTATCCCAGAGTGTATGATCTATCTTCCACGCCGGATTTCCAACCTCGCTGACGATTATTACAGGACCCATACGTGCAAGGCGAATCTACTGAACTGAGGAATATGTCGGTCGCGCCTGTCCAGGCGACCCAGGGTGGTACATACATCGAGCCTCATACTCAGCGCGAGTTCCTCGACCAGGTCGCGGTCATTAGAGACCTTCTCAGAGGCTTCGACACTTCCATGACCGAGGTCTCCAGGTTTCATCAGCGCCTACTCGATGCAACAGACACCGCGTCGGCAGCAGAGCTCGGGCCAGGCCTCCAGCAGCTCGAGTCGGAAATTCTGTCGCGAAACGAGCAGCTGAAGAGGTTGATCAAGAACCTAGAGCAGGATGCGGCCAACACGAGGAATGATACGCAGAACATGAAGTTCACCCAGATCGCGCCGCTGAAGAAGGAATTCCAGTTGAAGCTCACGAAGTATCAGGGTGTGGAGCGCGACTACAGGACGAGGAGACAGGAGCAGATCCGGAGACAATACCTCATTGTGAACCCAGATGCTACCGACACCGAACTTGCCGCGGTCGCCGATGCGTCCAATGACCCGGCCAGCCAGAATGTGTTCCAGATGGCAGTTAGTACTCGCGATCCGCCGGTAACTCATGAGACTAATGATAATTCAGCTCACCAACCGCCGCGGCCAAGCACAATCGGCTCTAGGCGCTGTCAAGGCTCGCCACGACGAGCTCCAGCGCATTGAGCGCACGATCACTGAGCTGGCCGTTCTATTCAATGAAATGGACCAGCTCGTTGTCGCGCAGGAGCCTCTTGTTGAGCGCACAGAGGCAAATGCTGAGCATGCGACAACGGACCTCGAGAGTGGGAACGTGCACGTCGGTAAGGCTGTCGTCCATGCCAAAAACCGCAACAAGCTCAAGTGGTGGTGCTTCTTCATTGTCGTGCTTATTGTGCTGGGTATCGCCCTGGGCGTTGGTCTTGGGGTTGGCTTGGCTAGTTCGACGAAAAACAAGGCACAGAATGCGACACAACGTTGAGCAGTTGTGGTTTGGCGGAAGAAATGGGTTGGGTTATATGGTTACGCGGTTATGTGGTTATGGTTACGTGTTTAATGGGTAGAGTAGGGGGGTGGTATAGGTTTGTGGGTTACTCCTGGATGGGTGTAAGATATTCGAGGATTTGGGGACCCATTTTCTCGAATCTAGGCTTGTAGATGTTGAAAAAGCGCGCAGGCCACTTTAATAATAGTTATAATGTCATAGTTAATCGGATATAAACATCCTAGAGAAATTATTTTTGGTCCATTGGTTTCTGAGATGGGGGGTTGGCGTCGATGTCGTGCTATATTATTCTGACGAGGCTGAGGGGACTCAGCCTCGTCGGAATAATATAACACACAGACCACCTAACCTCTTTCCCAAAGCTGTCCTCTTCGAAATATGATACCAGTAAAGTCCCCGAGACCAATACCCTTTTGCGCCGCTTTTACAATTGACGATGAAATTTTCGCCGACGGGGGAACAGGCATAAATATTTCCAGGGCAGCGTTTCAACGAAGCTCATGCGCCCAAGAAGCAACGAACGTCGCCCCCGATGAACGGCTTCGCGAGTCACGGTCTGGATGAGGACAGGTTTGCGGAGAAGGGGAGCATAGTCTCAGCATTCGATGCGTTCCGTGAGTTTTCCTCCTCCATGGTCATACAAACGGCATTTCCAGCCCTTCTGCCCAATTACTGGGCTCGCACACCTCGGCCGGCGCGGCTAATTGGCTGCTCAACGAACACCTTGCTTACTGTAGCCGTTTACAGCGAAATCCAAACCGGAGTATGTCACGAAAACCTCTGGAGGCGGGAAGTGGACGGTCCTGATGCTGATCATCTCGGCGCTGCTTACAATGTCAGAGCTGGGGCGCTGGTGGCGCGGCAACGAGGACCACACCTTCGAGGTCGAGAAGTTCGTCAGCCGCGACCTACAAGTCAACTTGGACATGGTGGTTGCGATGCGCTGTCCCGATATCCATATCAACGTGCAGGATGCGTCGGGCGACCGGATCCTGGCGTCGAAGGTACTCAAGACGGAGCTGACGAACTGGCTGCAGTGGGTCAACATGAAGGGGCAGCATCAGCTGGGACACAATGCCGATGGGAGTGTCATAACTGATGAGGGCTGGGAGAGTGATGGCCACGATGAGGGTTTCGAAGAGGAGCACGTCCACGATATTATCTACACGGCGATGCGGTCAAACAAGTGGGCCAAGACGCCGAAGATTAAGGGCCATCCTCGGGATGGAGATAGCTGCAGAATATTTGGAAGCATGATGCTCAACAAGGTGCAGGGCGACTTCCATATCACGGCTCGAGGACACGGATACCAGGAAGCGTTCGGGACGAAGCATTTGGACCACAGCAGTACGTATGGGGAGGCAATTAAGCTTTCACTCGTGCTACAATTGGGTTCCTACTGACATATTACCAGGCTTCAACTTCTCACATATCGTCTCCGAATTCTCCTTCGGAGCCTTCTACCCTAAGCTAATCAACCCCCTCGATCAAACCATTACCACGACCGCCAACCAGTTCTACAAGTCCCAATACTTCATGTCCGTCGTCCCCACCATCTACACCGTCTCCTCGCCCAACCCCCTCTCCTCCAAAAGCACCATCTTCACGAACCAGTACGCCGTCACGCACGAGGACCGCAAGATCAACGAGCGCACCGTGCCCGGCATCTTCTTCAAGTACGACATCGAGCCGCTGATGCTGACGATCGAGGAGCGTCGTGACAGCTTCCTCCGCTTTGCTATCAAGGTCGTGAATATCCTGAGCGGCGTGCTGGTCGCGGGGCACTGGTGCTTCACGCTCAGCGAGTACTTTGTTGAGGTGCTGGGGAAGAGAAGGAAGAGGCAGAGCGATGGAGTGCTCACGGGGAAGCTGGGGCATTCGGATTGATTGGGGTGGGCTGGGGTTGGGGTGATGGGGCGTTGATTTTTGGCGTTGGTTATGTGCTAAACATAGAATATATGATTTAACTGATGATCGCGAACATGCCCTCTTACGCTATCTTGCAACGCACGCACTATCATGACGGAACACGGCCCAAGGGGCGTCAATATCGTTTAATATTTTATTCATTGCGAACATGGGTATCTTATCATACGGTAACTTCTCGCTGCCACGCATGCCGTCTCTAGTCCATCTCCCCTATCTCGCACCCGAGCAGAACCTCAGAATGCTCAACCACCATTTTACTCCTCATTAGGCCTCGCGCCAGCGGGATGCTCCCATGCTCACCTACACCATCTAGCCTCTCTAGGCATCCTTCGGACTGTCCCCCCTCGAAAACATCGACAACCCTCTATCCTTGAGGGATGTCCCTCTATCCTTGACACTAGAGAAGAACGACGGCTGGTGATTATCCAACTTCGTCGTATTATCCTCCATGACCTGCTGCGCATTCTGCGTCGTATCCTGGTGATGCAACGTCGGGCGCTGCTGATCCTGCTGCTCCTCGGGATGTTGGTCAACGAACAGATCTTTGATCTGGCCCGCGCCCGTGGCGGCCTGGTACACGGCGAAGCTGGTGGCGAACTCTTTGTGTGCGCCGATCTTGATGGCGTCGAGGAGGAGGACGGCAAAGTTTTGGCAGTTGTTGCTGATGATGTTGTAGGCGGGCCGGGTTGCTCTCATGTTGTGGATGACCATCTCGCCTGAGAGGTGGAGCTGCATGTTAGAGAGGGAGGCAATAGGAGCCATATCAGAGGGGAAACTAACCGGCTTGTCGGAGCGCCTCGTCGTTGAATCTCGTGGTTCCGACTTCATACGTGTGCCACTCATCTTTGACGACGACCTCGTTGATGTAGATGACATCCAAATGCTCGTCCTATGAAACTCTTCAATTCCAGAACCAAATTTACAGTCGGGGCTACTAAACATACCATCCAAAGCTCATGACAGAATCCACCCACCAGCACTGCCCAGTGCTGCGTAGGATCAGGATACTTATTGATCTTCTCCGTGATCTTCTTACCCAGCCCCGTCTTCTCAGCAAACCACTTGCCTCCCAACCCTCCAACGGGATGCCACCCGATCTGGACGGTGCGCAGCTCCCCGTTGATATTAGCCTCGCCGGGCGGTACCACGTTAGGCTTGTGGCCGAGGCCGAGGGACTGCTCGAGCACGATCTTGCCCTTCAGCGCTCCCTCTTTGCCTTTTTCGAGACCTTCTTTTCTGGATATCGCGTAAGACTTCGTACTTGCGCCGGATGTGATGGAGTCGGGTGCTTACAGGTATCCGCTTATCTTACTACGCGACGAGGAGCGCTTCTCCTCTGTTACTGTTTCTGCCTCGGTCATTTGGGTTTGTCGTCTGATGGAATTAGATCAGGAAACTTAGGTGGCACTCTGTGCACTGTATTTATGGAGTTATTATGTATAATACGTATGCAGGGCGGCGCGGCAGTCGTTGAGAGGGCGAAGTCAAGAGGGGGGTACATAAACGCCTCTCAGAAATCCGACGTGTTACCCCACTATTAATTCAGGTACGGAATGTTCGGACGAGACTTTGGACTCTATATATCAGGTACATATATTCCAGGCTATATTTACAAACAAAAGTCACATTGGTCACCTTCCCCAGCTATATCCAGACGCCCATGTTTTACCAGGCGCCGCCACATGTCAACCTCTGTTCGGCGCTTACAAGGAAACTAGCCATTCGTTTCCAGGAAAAGTGAGCACGAAAAGCGAGCACGAAAAGTGAGCACGAAAAGTGAGGGCTGTGTAGATCCTAATCTATCACGGAGTGGAGGAATGGATGAATATTCCGCCGCCCTGCCTCAAATGTGAGAAATGGGATGGAATACTGGGTTTTGGTAAGCCTCAAAGTATGTCTATAGACACATCTGCTTAATTAAATAGTTTGTACACTACAGTATTCAATTAAATCATCTGTTTTTAATAGACTATTTGCCGTACCTACGCCCCAATTGCTGTATCCCCCACATGCTGGGGCCTCCAGCGAAGCGTCAGTGACGACGCCCAGAGGATTACATAAGCAGAAACAAAGTGCTGCCTTTCCTCACCCACGCCTCGCGTTTCCACAAAGCCAGTAAGTGCCTAGTAACGAATCTATACATATATATGAACAATATAGCCGTTATACGACCGGTTGTTAGGAATGGGATGGCGGAGAGACGATGTCTTGGATGTTGATCTCCCAGGCAAACATCTGGGCTTCTTAGTCCCTTGTCCCACTTGCGTATGGAGGCCCTGCTCAGCCACAACGTCATGATATGAAACGAATCTGTGACCTTGAGATCTATCCCGATCCCCTCTCTCCTCGCCAATAAGGACAAAGAGTAAACTAGGCTTCTACCTTTGTAAGTGCTAATGAAAGAGTGGCGTTAAAAGGTATATTTTCTCTTGTTCACGACTTGCATCTTGGATCTTCGTTAATGTGTGTGTTTCGAAGTTTATAGCGAGTTTCCCAACATCATCTGAAATCGTACTTCATCCCCGCTTCTCTAACCAGGCAACACCACACGAACTCCAACGATGTCTACCACAGACGCCCATATCCCAGCACCAGCTGAAGCGCCAGCGAGCGCCAGCCCAGCAACAGACTCCGCTCCAGCAGCTCTCGCCGCTGTCGCTCCACCAACAACCACAAATGCCGCGCCAGCAACATCAACCCCACCAAAGATCTCCCTCGACACCTCGAGTCACAACTCCGAGCCCGCCCTTGACTTCGCCGGCGACGTCGACACCAACAACATCCTCCCCACCCAAGCCACCCTCTCGAAAATCGAGGACTACGCGGTCCTCGACCGCGACGGGAAGAGCATCCCCTTCAAATCCCTATACACCGGCCCCAACGTCCCACGCCGTGTGCTCTTGATATTCGTGCGACACTTCTACTGCGGCGTACGTCCCCCTCCCCCTATTGCGCCATCCCCACTAACACCCCCCAGAACTGCCAACAATACCTCAAGGCCCTCTCTGCCTCCATCACCCCCGATGACCTCCTCCGACTCCCCGTCCCAACCTTCATCGCCGTCATCGGCTGCGGCGCCCCCTCGCTAATCCAGATGTACGCCGACGCCAGCGAATGCCAATTCCCCATCTACGCCGACCCGACGGCGAAGCTGTACTCCGAGCTAGGGATGACGCGGACGCTCGCTCTGGGCGCGCGGCCCGAGTACCTACGCCGCAGCATGGTGACCAGCACCCTTGCCAGTATCGTGCAGGGGATAAAGCAGATCCCATCCGGGCGGGCGCTGGTAGGCGGGGATATGCAGCAGGTTGGTGGGGAGTTCTTGTTTGAGCCGGTGGGGGGGCTGGCGGCGAGTCCGGTGACGCCGGGGGTTGGAGGGGAGGAGGAGAAGAGGGTCGTGTGGTGCCATCGGATGAAGAATACGAGGGATCATGCGGAGGTGCCGGAGTTGAGGGAGGTGTTGGGGCTGGATGGGTTGGGGGTGCCGGGGGATAACGCGAAGAGGTGGATGAAGGCTGTGACGGAGAGGAAGGGGACTGGGTTGAGTGCGATGGGGAGTTTGAATGAGGGGGGTAGTGGGTTGCTGGTTGGAGAGCCGAAGGGAGTGGTGAAGGGCCAGTAAGTCAAGCAATACCAATTTGAGCAATTTCGGATGTAGCGGGAACAATGAACTGAAGTATTTGCCAATTCACAAGCAAGACACTTATTTTGATGCTGAGACACGCATGTTTGTAATTCGGCTCAATAGAGCGTTTTAGCAACTGTTGAACAGGCTGTTCAACACCCCCGTATGTAGTTAGTATAGAAATATGAGAATTTAGTGCCATAATCCCTGTACAAACCTTGCAAGCCCGAGCTCCACTACTTCCTATTTAGGACTTAGGACTGTAGAGGTTTAACAGTTATCTGTTGAAGACTTACAGCGAGCCATAATCCTGTTGTAGTTAGAGTATTTATTAGTAATCACCTTCAGGGGATGTCATGTAGCTGTAGAGTTAGTAATAGAGTTGTATGTATGATTGTATTATATTCAATACAAGTAATAACTATGGCATCGCATACCAAACCTATTGAATTCCGGGCATACCAGCCTCGAACTTTACTTCCCAGTCGTCAGCAGCGCTCTGTCTTCGAAGACGATGATCTGGGTAGTCCTCCTTTACCTGTTCAGCCTACAGTTGAGGCGCAATTCAATACCGAAAGGCCTAGAGGATCACAAGTCTCAAGCTGGCAGCGCATAGAGAGTTGCGACCCTCAAGGCTCTCAAACAAAGATGACGCCCCTAACGAAGGACGAAGTACTGGTCCTCTTCCGACTTTGCAATCGAAACGCCGAAGCATTTTGACCAGGGAAGAAGACTGCATTCTGGTCTTATATACAGGCTGATTTCGAAAGGGAGACTGGTAAAGACCACAAGAGTCTCTACCGAGTAGTACAGCGGGAAATTGACAAGAGAAGGAAATACCTTGATGGGCTTGGGACTGGACAAACCGATAGCGAGTCGGAATTGACTGTCCAAACTGATAACTGGATTGGGGTTGTTACTGAGGAAAAGCGGATTGAAACACAGTGAAGTGAGGCAGCAAATACTGTTATCACTTCGTCGCAGCGAGCGCTCAATACTCGAGACTTGTTATCCATTGCTCTTTGCTACAAAGCGGAGGCACCAGCAGACTTATCCTCAAAGTCGTAATAGATCCATTGGCCAGAGAGCACGAGAGTGCTCTGGCTTTGACGATCCTGACGACGAGGATATACTAGATGATTCTGCAGAAGAAAGGCAAAGTGAGAACGGCGCTGAGAGTGTTCACTCTATAGACTCGACTCCCCTGGAAACACCAACCCTACTACGAACACCAACACCAGTACTACGAGGAACTTCAGCTCCTCGTGGCCGTTCAAGTAGTCGAGGAAGACGCCGCCATAGACAGCCCTGAACTTTGTCACCGTCTCAGACTCAATTGCTCCTTGAAGAGCGATTAAATACACAGGCTGACGACCCAGTATTATCTGTCTTTGAGTCGTCCATGAGTATGGTGAAGGATCAGTATAGGAAGAGTAATGCAAGAGGGCAGGGAGGGCAGCAGGAAAGTCAGAACGAGAACATTGATAATCCTATAATTACTTCGCGGTTACAGCAAGTTGATCATCAGATCCGGGAACTACAGGAAGGCCAAGCTGAATTGAAGCAAGGCCAAACTACAATGATATCTCTTCTTCAGCAGGCATTACATGGGCCTATCCGACGAAGCGTTCCAATTGAAAGTACAGGTAGTAGGGAATATAATGGGGTAGAGGGTTGGATAGAGTCAAGTAATACATATATATCCTCTAGTACAAAGAAGATATTTCTCTACTGTTGGTGGAGGCACCAGAAACCTCGTTCCAATCAAGTTACCCCGTATACAAGTATAACAGTTCGTTAATAGTATCGCAGCTTTAAAGTGAGCTGCTACAAGCGACTGTGACTGTAGCCCTTTATCAAAAGCTGCGTACGTCCATAACTGTTGCGTTAATCCAAAGGCGTTTTCAACTGCAATCCTCACAGATGATAGAGAAGCATTAAACTGCTTCTCCTTAGAAGGAAGATATCAGTAGCCACGCGCACAAGTATACGGAGCCATAATTCCTTCCGTACACTGGTAAGCTGGGTCTCCATATAGGTATAACTCCCGTTTACCATCCATAATATGCTGAATCCTTTCAACGCAGCTGTAAGGATGCCTTCTCGTCTCTCACTCTAAGGAGCAGACTCTGAGTAGCTGCGGGTCACGTGTGATCATTTGGGCGGGCTAACCGAGTCGGATGGGTTTTGGGTACTTGAGGGAAATGACTCATGAGGTTCCCCCTGATCATGTGTGATCATTGGGGTGGGCTAACCGAGTCGGATGGGTTTCGGGTACTTAAGGGAATTGACTCACGGGGTTCCCCCTTCATCTTTTTTGTATCCTTCTTAGTAGACCTATAGGATAGCATCCGTTTAGCCTCCGACTCGCACTCCCATATGCTATTACTGTGAGCTGGGTGCCCTGTGTCCTTACAGCAGCCTGATTCCCCCCAAATACGCCAGTCGTTAGCTGGTCCATTATACGGCCCAATCAAGGATGATACAAGTCCATCAGGGGTTACAATAGCCTGGAAGTACATTCCGTGCTTCTTCTTATATCCAGAATACCATAGCCGCTGGACTTCCGAGTCTCCTGCTGGTCGACAAAACCCTTGGAATGTACCATCAACAAACCCCCATATTTGGCTACAGGTGTAAGGATGCCTCCGTACCTAGATACTCGAAGAACCTGTCTCAGAACTGTTACGGTCACTACAAGCATGGAATCCGACTCGGTGGGGTTTCGAACCAGTAGAGGAGCATATAGCGAGTTACACTATAGTGGGGGACGGTAAGTGTATAGGGTTCAGGGCCGATGCAGACCTGTTGCGGTGGAAGGTTCAGGGCTAGGGTTGGGATAACCGAGTCGGGCCCGTTTCGGGAGTTAAGGAAACAGACTCAACGGGGTTCCCCCTTCATCTTTTTTGTATCCTTCGTAGTAGACCTATAGGATAGCATCCGTTTAGCCTCCGACTCACACTCTCATATGCTATTACTGTGAGCTGGGTGCCCTGTGTCCTTACAACAGGCCACCTGTAAGGACAGTTTGAACCGAGGCTGACCTTCAAGTCTGCAGAAGTATCCGAAGTATAATGTGAAGACTTCGATACTCGAAGCAGTAGGACAAGGTATAGTAGTTCAGGCTCCAAAGCATATACTTTATACCACAGGGGTCAAGTGGTGAGACTAACAGGTTGGCCAAGTGGTTCGACTCGAAGTAAGGGAATGCAAAGTAAGTCGAAGCAGGAGGAATTGCAAGAAGGCCAAGTAGTATATAATTTGCTAGCTAAAGATCAATAAGAGACATGAGCAATAAGTGCTTATATAACAGTAAAAATCCCTAGTGCCAAATAAGCGAAGGCACTAATTAACCGAACCCTAGCTAAGCGAGCCCTAGTGCAGCAAGCCAATAACAAGAGAGCCTAAGCCAGTAGTCAACATTTGGGCTGATCTAGGTCAGCAAGTGAAGCGAAGTGAGCGAAGTGAGCGAAGCAGGTGAAGTGAATGACATAGTGAAATAAGTACTAGAGACTAAAGCGAATCGAAGGGTCGTGACACAAATATCGAAGGAGTGTCATGATACCACCGCTATCTGCTATAGCCTCTTCAAAGCTTAGTAGCTTGTTGTATGTAAGGTATGGGTGCCATTCTAGTAAGCCTTCGAATTCGTGTACCAAGTGACCCATTACGTCGTTAAAGACTATTGAAAGCCATGCCTGAGACCGTCCAAAAAGGTCAACACAGGTTGTCCAACGCCCTGGATACGCAAGACGGGCCAAGACTACGCAAAGAGCAGTCTCTGGGTCTGGGTTTACCCGCCTGCTCCAGACTATTGTATGAAGCTTTAGCAGTGGCACAAGCTGAGCTATTTCGTCAATGGAAAACCTGTTAACTGTGAGTAATTAAGAACCATATAGAGTTATAACCTAAAAGCCTACCGGAATTTATGAGCTACCTGTCCAGGAGTATGGCTACCCCATGCCCGTAAGCTCCAGTTGAACTTATCATACTCGTAAGTAAGTCGGGTCTGTGGGCGTTGAGTTGTATATAACTGTCGTAAGAGCCACCGATGGTATTGACGACGGCGATTATGCCGAATAACCAGAACAGTAGCACAAGTAGCAATCGCAATCAGTTCTAGGTCTTTGGTATTAGACATTAGATCTAATTACTATAACTACCTCTGAATTGAAGTAATATAGTAGCTACGTCGCAAAGATATTTTATAACGAAAGTGGTGGTCGAATAGGGGTAATTTGCAGTGGTGGCAGTCGCAAAAGGGTACATATAGGTACTTCCATTTACATATATATTTGTATGGCAATAGACATACCGCGATGTATCTTTTTCCGGCTGCCACCACCTCTCCCTCCACCCGCCCAGTTCCAAAGCACTTACTGAAGTAGAAAAATTTATCAAAGGCCAGTATTCTACAGAGGGAACAAAGGGCTCTAGTCACATAGGGGACTACAAAGGGAACACCGTAGGGGGTATGGCCGGAATGGGAGAATTACATACAATTTACTAGTAATTTCCCTTGTCATGTCATAGGTGAACTCATGAAAATCATGAAGATCACAACTTTTCAAAGCCTCGATTCCAACTCATTTTAGAATTGCCTATTTAGGCCTTACAGTGGACTACAGTAAGCACTAAACAGGGTTACGTATGCTCTAATACTAATATATTCTAGGTCAGCTTGGCATGGCCTGATCAGGCAATGTAAAGCCAGAGCCTGTCGGAGACTGCTAAAACGCTCTAATCGAGGATTTGTTTTAGTGGTGGCGGCCCGTGCCTTCCCGTGCCCTCTGGCAAGGGACACAAATAATAGAAGTAAAGAGGTAGTTGTATTCTTGGGTATATACCTTTATCCATACTAAAAACTGACCAAGGAAGAAACCAGTTATTTATGAAGAGGCTGTGATTTTCAACATAGGATACATTACCATGTCGTGCAACACCTGATCCCCTGTGCTTGCAGCTTTGGAGGCGTACACCCCTGTCGGGGAAATTGCGTCCAGCTACATTGGGATGGCTCAGCTGAACCTCAAAATCCTCACGACTTCGACATGCTTCCCGTTCATCCGCCTAGGAAAGGCAGTACGCTATAAATTCCGGTTCTTGGTGGCCCATAGAGACCACAGCGGCCAGCACCACCTATTAGTATGGCCCAGACGACGACGACCCAAGCTCAGGAAAACGGAAACACCCCAGGTCGTCCGCCACTATTCGTTATTTGAGTGAGAGTGTGGAATATCTTATTGTTCCTCAGCCGCGCCATGAGGATGGTGGGGGCAGAACCACCTGAGATGTCTGGTGCGCTGCAAGAAAATGCTTCAATGTCTAGATCCAGTAGGGAGGCTAGCGAAAACTTCACAGGCTATCATAGTGATTCGGATTCCGATGGAGACGAGTCTATGTCTGTATACAGACAAAAGGCGGGGGCCGCGGGCCGACGGAAACAATCTTTCTTCATTGTGTCAGATCGCAGGAAACATGAAGAAGATCGTTGGGGACCCCTTGAAAGGATTGAAATCAGGCCGATCCTGAAAGCCTCTACTTTCAAGATATTAAAGCCAAGAAGGAAACGAACAAAATCAGTGCATCAATATGTTATAGATGCAATACGACGAAATGACGTTAATGGATCAATTTTGGATCTCCCGGAAGCTAATATCCCACTCCCAGAGTCCGACTCTGAGAGTTTAAGCGGGGATGAAAGTGGACTATCACATCCACGGAACATCAAATGGTCAGATAGGTCATCTCTAGACGCCATTATTGGAGAGGGAAATATATCTCGTGATTCCAAGGCTCGCCCGACTATGGAGCCTGCCCTTCGCCATTTTAAGTATTCGGATATGATAATCCGCGCGTCTCAAGTCTTCAGACACTTTCATAAGGTCCTCGACGCTGTACCGTCACGCAACAATAATATCGCAAATATAACATCTATTGACTTTTCCGAAAATTTCCGATATTCCCAAACTGAGTTTATTGTTGGTAGCAACGATAGCCACAATATACGTACGCTTGGGGCAATTGGCCAGATTCCAGAGAACGTCAGACAGAGGCTACTCATAGTACCGGATTTAGCGCCACAGATTATTAACCTTCTTGGAAACCTCTTTGGACTCAGCCCGGAAGTTTTTGAGGAGCACCTAATAAATTCAGGATACGAGGGAGCGAACTATGATGATGAACCTGCACACACCTGGTCTACAGCAAAGATGAAAAAATCACACGCCTCTATTAAGTGGTATCGACCCGTAGAGAGACGTCCCGTAGCTCCGTACTCTACTCGGGACCGGGAGATTCTCCTTGATCCGACACAGGGTCGCTTGAAGCGCAGCGGAGACTATGACAGAGATTTCCTTGTATACCAAACCCAGTCTAATATATTTCGGTCTGAGTGGGAGATGTGGACTGACCCAAAGATAACCACTGAAGAAGAGAGGATCTGTGGATGGGAAGAGAGAGCTACTGTCTGGAGCCAAAAGCTTGATGGCAGAGATTGTTATGTTGGTAGGTGACCAATAATCGAAGGAGAAGAACTACCGCTTACCCGTTTATAGTGATCCTAATCCTTGATCCACTGCCAGTCATAGAAGAAGGAGCTGAGCGAGTCGTAGAAGCAGCGCGAGTCTATCGCCCGGATAAAGACGACTCTGACTCTGATGATTCTTTTGTTGATCCTGCGGAAGACGCCGAACATTTGTGGAAGCTAGCTGAAAAACTTCGAACTCAACGTGCTTCTCAAAAACGTACTACACAGCTACGGAAAATGTTGAACCCAAATGGTAAGGATAAAAAGCAAGACGATGAGGCCGCCTCTGTACTGAGTCAGACGTTTGAGAAGGTGACGTTGAAAGTGCTAAGCCTAGTCACTGTACATCCGGTGTTCCGACAGATTGTCCCGCGAGCGCACATAGAAGTTGGTATCGATGAAGCGTTTCGCTCGGCACCACTTTTGGATAAGCTAGGCCGTCAGCTGTTTAATACCACGTCTACGAAGGACGAGTTCTGCCAATGGCTAGATTCAATGCCGTATCCGAGAAGAGGCGACCATCATTTTGCATTAATTACGCCACTATATCACATCATACAGCAAGATTCGACAAACCTACTAAGTCACTTGCACAAGACTCTTGACGAGATCAACGTCGATATGCTAAGCGATGCGAAGATGGAGGATCGAGTAGTTATGTGGCGTCAGATTATAGCTAGGGCCCAGCTTGAATTGCCAGGACTCAAACGCTCTATAACTACATTCTTCACGTTCACCCAATTACTCGATGTGAGAGGGGGGTCTGACGTTCAGGACCAGTTTAAAGAACTATCAACTGAGATTGACGATATGATCCAAAGACTTCAAATAGCGTCCTCGTCACTAACCTCAAATATGGCCTTGCTCGATAGCCGACGATCTATTGCCGAAGCTCAGGCCATTACAAAATTAACGGAGCTAGCCTTCTTCTTCATCCCCTTATCATTTACCGCCACCTTGTTCGGGATGCAAGTCGAGCAACTGGCCGCCCCAGCGCCGATTTGGATCTTTTTTGTCTTGGGGATTGGGTTTATCTCTCTCTCGTATCTTGTTCGACTCGCCATTAGGAGCGCCTGGCTACATCGGTTGATCAAGGATTACAAAGAGAGCATTGCGATGTACGCCCAGAACAAGCGCCAGCCCCTCAAACAAGGAAACGTACCAGCATCCATGTTCGTGCGATGGGTGGGATATGTGGTAGCCCATGGGCTAGTTGCCAATCACAGAGCAATGGTTGCGTGGATCAGTTCGTCACGTCCTGGTAAGGTTATCACTGCTGCTAGTCTTGTTTCTTTGGTTGCAGTGCCTCTCGCCGTTATATGGACAAAGCCCTTGGCACCGGGTATAAGGGCAGCTATAACTGCGGTTATCGTGTTGCTTGTCGTAACTGTGGTCGTATTCAATGTTATGCGGAGGCTTGTGTATGGAGCGGGGAGCATATATTTTACCTCTTCTTATGGCTCGGACTCGGATTCAGATTCGGGTTCAATTTAGGTCTACGGAGAAGAAATGCCAAATCAAGCTCTAAATAAGAGTACCATAATACGCTATTTATAGTATAGTATTCTACACAACGCTATTCCTTTTAAGCCCCTTTTTGCAGCACCGCTTTGCTAAACACCACGTCATCAATCTTCTATGGCCTGAAGATTCTGGATACTCAAAATCATAATTAAAACCCCACACATCGCAACGACAACCAGCAACACCCCTCCCCATCCCAGCACCATAGCCGCCGCACCCACCCCGCCCCTCACCGCCCCATACGCCAAGCTCCCGCCCATACTCGACGCCGTTGCCGTGGCCACATGCTGCCATAGTATCGAGATCAGCACGAGGATGGCCGCAATAAAAGTCGCTGCCAGCGTGACCTTCGACACAGAGCGCGACGGGAAAGGACGAATTTCGACCTCGGACCCGTGGTCGTCCTCGTTGCCGTGCCACTGCGGGTAGGTCACTAGTAGGATGAGGGTGATGACCATGAACGCGATGGACGCAAATCTGTAGACGACGGTTAACAGGCGGGCAGCGCGGGGGGGGTAAAGGGGACAAACATGAGCCCATCGAAGATGATGGTGTCGCGGAAGGTCCTGGCGATCCAGAGGATGTTTAGTGGGTCGGGGCTGCTTCCACTCTGGGTCCCATTCAGGGCGCGGGCGAGTGAATCGGCGTCGCGTGAACAAGTCCAGTTCCCTGGTGCGGCGCTGATGCACATCCCAATATAGCCGGCGCGGACTTGGAGTGTTGTAGAATTGCCTGCAAGGTTGGCGAAGGTGGTGGAGAGGGACGGGCTCAGCTGCAATGGGGAGGGGGGGTAGGGGGTGGCTGGCTGGTAGGAGAGCGACAGGAGGTACACGTCTTTGAGGCCTGTAGTTGTGCAGCCGGCGACAAGGATGGCTAGGTGGTGATGAGGTTAGCGGGGGGGCGGCGGGGGGGAGAAGGCAGGGCGGGTACAGAGAAAGATGATACAGATAGAGATGGTGATCATGAAGACATGGTGAACGGCGAAGGGCGGTAACCTATCTGTTAGAGGTGGATTATCAGCAACTCAGCTCTCCCACACAAACCCGTAGGGGGGAGGTACATACAAAGAGCGTTACTAACAAGGCGAGCAAGACGACCACGGCGAGCAAGACGACCAAGGCGAGCAAGACGATCAAGGCGAGCAAGACGATCAAGGCGAGCAAGACGAACAAGACGAGCAAAACCCGTCAATGTAGACGCTTCACTGCTAGTGGCCACGCTCACCTGCGATCCTTCAGCTGGGGAACTTCCCTCCGTGTTGACCTTCATCCTCGACATCGTGAACGGAACAGCGAGCCGTCAGCTACGGAAATTCTGTGCGCATTCGTCGGCGACGTTAAAACCGGAACTGAGAGCCGTCGGCGGCATGGCGGGCGTCGTCGGTGCGGCGTGGGATGAGTGCTGCAGGGATGTGGATCAGCTTCAGGGGGGGGTACCTTGTCAGGCGGGCCGGTCCCCGCGCTGGTGTTGCCACACACCCCCAGTTCATGAGCGACGACTGATGTGTTTACAGTCGCGTGCGAATTATAAGGTGGTTGCGTTTGAAAAATATATGTAAGATCAGATTGATAAATAGAAGCAGTATAATTTAAAATATAATCCAAAAATGCAGGACGATCAATAACTTTGACAAAAACCTTTTAGCCCAACATCCTCAAAACTCCAATCCTCCGTGCTCCATATCGTAATATAACCCCTTTACCATATATATTATCAACTTCCACCGTATTCGTAACTTCAAACAATCCCAACCCCCAACCACATCTTTCAACCCACCCCGCCACTAATCTCTAAACCTACTCCTCCCCCTCGGCGGCTCCGGCTCCTTCCCATCCCCATCCCAATCCCTCGGCAGCGTCGTCCCCCCCTCCACCTCCTCATCCTCCTCCTCCTGCCTAATCCGCTGATGCTTCCCACAATACACCCACCTCCACCCCTCCTCTGCCCATGGATCCGTACAAAAACACCCGCACGGGCGCGTCTCCCCCGCCGAGCTCCCATACCGCCTCTCTCTCTCCCTACTCACTGCTTCTGGCCGAGGGAGTTGTATCGACCCGCTATAGCCGCGGGCTGCGGGGGAGGGGCCGTTTGGCGGGACCGTTTGAAGGTGGTTCGGTAAGGGGGTAGATCTGTAGGGGATATAAGGGATTGAGGTGGTGCGCATAGAGGGGGGGCCTACCGGTGCGGTTGCGGCGGCTTCATTGGAGTCTTCGTAGCCGTTTTGGGGTTCGGCGTGTTCAGTGTCGTCTTCTGCTTCATCCATGGTGACGTCCCCATCCATGGCAACGTTCCCAGCCATGGCATTATCCCCATCCATATTGACGTCCCCAGCCCCCTCATGTAAATAACCCCCTACGCCATTCCCAACCCCATCCCCATTCCCATCACCCCTATTCCCAGCCGCACCCTCCCTCACCTCTCTCAACACCCTCTCCCTCACCTCCCTCAACACCCTCTCCCTCACCACCTCCGTCAACACCCTCTCCCTCTCCTCGCGCCTATGCTGCCGCCCAACGATAATAGCCTCGCGAGTGCCTCGCATGAGCGAACCTAGTCGTCCAACAAAGGATTGCGCACCGGGGGCCTGGCCACGAGATGTCGGCACAGCAGAGCCCGGCGCAGTCCCGGCGCCAAACTCACGAGCCCTGTGAGTGTGCACGGGAGCCGAGCTCGAGTAGCCGGCGCATGTAGGCACAGCAGTGCCCAGCGCAGGCCCGGCGCCAAACCCACGAGCTTTGTGGGTGCGCTGGGGAGCCGAGCTCGAGGGGCCGCCGCATGTCGGCACAGCAGTGTCCGGCGCGGGCCCAGCGCCAACCTCACGATCACTGTGAGTGCGCAGAGGGGCCGAGCTCGAGGGGTCGGCGGATTGCGGCCCTGGATCGGGGGAGTGCGGGATCATCATCCTAGCGCCACCGCTGCGTCCCGAGCCCACGGCGGGTATCGCCTCGAAATAGTGGTTCTGCGGCACCTGCAGTGTTCTCGGTTCCGATTGAGGGACATCGGGGAGTGGGATACTGTGTGCCGAGAACTCTGCTGCTAGGAACGGTGCCGGTCCCGAGGGGGGAGGGGCGCTGTTCACCGGGCTGTCGGCGGTGAGAGACTCTCCCTCTCCTGGCGGCGCACCGACACCAGCAGCAGAGAATCCATGGGCTGCCCCTGAAGTCGGCGATGGGGGAGGGGCGCCATCCGCCGTACCGCCCGCAGTGGGATCCCCTCCATCTCCCGTCGGCGCAGCGGCATCAGTAGCGGCAGAATATCCATGAGCGGCACCTAAATTCGGCGAAGGCGTCGGCGCACCAGAGCGGACTTGTCGTCGTTCCTCGCCACTCTCGTGCTGTGAGGGAGCCGAGGGAGCGAAGGAGGCGAATCCGCGGGTTGGTGCCTGTGCTAGCAGTCCCTGTGTTGGGAGTCCGGCCGTCGATGCCGAGAGTTCGAACGTTGGGAAATCGAACGTCGGGAGTGTGGAGGTGGAAGCGGGGGAGGCGGGGGAGGGGGAGGGGGAGCGGGGGCGCTTGCAGCCTGTGCGGGTTGGGGAGGTGGGTGGTGGCTGTGGTGGTGGGGGGGCTGACATGGTGGCTGTGGTGTGTGGAGTAGACAAGGGGTGCTGTGCTCTTCGTGGTTGTTGTGAGGCACTGTCGTGTTTGTGAGAGTTGTAAGGCGTTGTGGTTTTTTGTAAAAGGCGATGGTCTTTGGGATAGTCGTGAGTTGCTATGTTCTTTATGATAATTATGAGGCGCTATCGTGTTTATAGAAGGCAACAGTTTGTGAGAGTTGTAAGGCGTTGCCGTCTTTTGTAAAAGGCGATGGTCTTTGGGATAGTCGTGAGTTGCTATGTTCTTTATGATAATTATGAGGCGCTATCGTGTCTATAGAAGGCAACAGTTTGTAAGGCGTTGTGGTTTTTTTGTAAAAGGCGATGGTCTTTGGGATAGTCGTGAGTTGCTATGCTCTTTATGATAATTATGAGGCGCTATCGTGTCTATAGAAGGCAACAGGCACTATCCTCGTTGTGATAATTGTAAGGCGCTATGGCGTGTGCAAAAGTCGATGGACAGCGTCGTGATAACCGTAGGTGACAGTAACTATCCTCGTAATAACGGGTAATAGTTGCTCTTCTTAGAATAGTAGATAGACACCGTACTGTCGACAGGAGTTGATGGGTGCTACGGGACTTGAATGTATCAACGGAGAGTAAAGTGATAGAACTCCGCACAGAGTGGAATCGTCAGCACAGAGGAAAGTGATAAACCAGGAGGAAAAGAGAAAGAGAAAGGAAGAACAAGAAAAATTCCCATTACACCCATCCACCCATCTCCCCATCCCACACATCGTCTCCATACTCCCTTTCCCCTGGGCCACCCCGTCACCGGCGCGAACTCTAAACGGAGAAGCTCTCTAGCTCCCGGAGTTCCTGACAAGCAACCACTCACACCTCTTCCCCGATTTCGACACCATGGTACGACGTCACTACCCGCTGTCAAAACATCCGACTCCCTCCATCATCATGCGATGATGATGGGGAGTTACCAGGAACCAGGTACGTGTGCCTGCCGTGCCTGCCCACCCAAGATTCTAGAAGCGAGAGCTAACAAAGGGGGGGATGAAAATAATTTGGCTATGGACACTAGGCACTAGACAACGGAAGTATTTTTTCACTTTATTCGAATTGGAATTTGCTAGATAACTACGAATAAACGTAAGATTAGTTGCAGACTCCAACGCCAGGCCTCGTCATCATCGGATCATCCCATCTCTCACCATCCCCATCATCCCATCACCCCATCTCCTCCACCGGTAATTACTCCCACTTGACATAAATCTCACCCCACACAAATCCCAGGTACCAGGCACCAGGCACCCCGCCAAGAGCAACGTCATCCTCAAACACTCATCCATCAAACCCCCCCTCAAACAGCGAACGCAACAGCAGCCGCCAACACCACCATCCCCAAACTCGCCGCGTTCGCGACCGCCGCAGCGGGAATAGGTGGTGTGATAGTAGACGATGGGCCGACGGGCGTATTGGTCTTGCCACCACCACCACCACCAGTCGGGTGGGCGGGGCCGGTGCCGTTTGTGACGGTCGTGATGGTCGCTGGTGGGGTGGGGGTGGTGGCGCACTCGGAGATGGTTACGGTGACAGTAGTAGGTGGGACGACGGTGGGCTTATTGGTGTGCGGTGGCTTCTTAGTGGTAGTGGGTTCGGTGGGCTTAGCCGTGGTAGTTGGCTCTGGCTTCTTAGTGGTAGTGGGTTCGGTGGGCTTAGCCGTGGTAGTTGGCTCTGGCTTCTTAGTGGTAGTGGGTTCGGTGGGCTTAGCCGTGGTAGTTGGCTCTGGCTTCTTAGTGGTAGTGGGTTCGGTGGGCTTAGCCGTGGTAGTTGGCTCTGGCTTGGTGGTGGTGGTAGGCTCTGGCTTGGTGGTGGTAGCGGTGGGCTCTGGCTTGGTGGTGGTGGTTGAGGTTGGTTCGACGGGCGTGGGTGTGCAGACGTCGACGGGGAGGGTGAACACGCCGTTGAGGTTGCCGGAGCCGCCGTAGACGATGCAGCTGGGTTTTGTTAGCCTTGTATCTTCACACTCTCCTCTCTCTCAACACTGTCCACAAATACTGATGACCTGGAAATAGACAGCATGATGTTGGGGGGTGGTGAACCTACTTCTTCACGCAAGCAGCGCTGTGCAGATGTGGCGCATAACAGAGCGTGGGCTGCACGCCCAGAGGCGGCTCGCCAGCCAGGTTATCATTGCAGTTCCCGGGTTGTCCGACGAGACCGGTGCAGCGGATGATGATGTTTGTCTTGAGCGAGTCGCCGGCGCAGTAGACTGCGTCGGGGACGTGGCAGGTCCATTTGCCAGTTTCTGGGTTGCTGGGAGGGGGGTTAGTATGGACTGTGTGGGGGACGGATGCGGTGGATGAGGGTAGGGGAGGGAGGAGACATACTAATCTGGGCCAGTAGCGCTGGAGAGAGCAGCAGAGGCAGAGATGAGGAGAGCAGTGGAAAGCTTCATCGTGTTGGTGGTGGTGGTTGGTGGTGGTGGTTGGTGGTGGTGGTTGGTGGTGGTGGTTGGTGGTCGTGTGTGGTGGGTATATATCGATTATGATAACTCTTCTCAAGCTTCCTTTCCTCTGTTTCACGTGGATGAACGACAGTAGGTAACGAACGTCAGTAAACAGCAGGTGTGAGGTCAACAAACAATAACAGCGAGAGTGATAGTACGAGCGTGTGTGTCTGTATGAGCAAAAGGGAAGGGGGATGAATATCGGGTGGGAGGGGGAGGTTATATACAAACACGGGCAGTACTGGAGGGACGTCGTTATGGAGGGGCGGTGGCTGGAGTACTGGGGTGTGGGATGTGTACTTGGTGTTTATAGAAAGTCTACTTGCTACAACGGTTGAATCGTTCCCGTGTCCTTGCTGTGTGGAATGTAGACTTGCTGTAGTCGTCGTGTACCAGTAGCACTCACTCACTGGCACAGGTGCGCTGGCAGGCACTACAGCACTGGGGAGTATACGAGAGAGGCGTAATTCGTTGGTGGTATGCCGAGGATATCTCCATCTCAATACGAGGCAAGCAAGCCACTGCCTGCGTCTCTGCGCCACCTCGTATTCCGCAAATACCATGCGACTCACGGGACCCCAGAGCCGATGGTCCGCCGAGAGGTGCACATTGGGTGTATTTTCGAGTTGAAGTTGAGTATTATTTATATATATATTATAAGTTACACATATCATTAAGCATCATCTCCCCTTCCCCCTTCTTATACGCATATCATTAAGCATCATCTCCCCTTCCCCCTTCTTATACGCATATCATTAAGCATCATCCCCTCTTCCCCCTTCCCCCTTTTCCCTTCCCCCTTCTCCCTTCCCCCTTCTCCCTTCTCCCTTCCCCCTTCTCCCTTCTCCCTTCCCCCTCCTCAGACACCAGATCCTATTTCCCCTTCCATGTCATATCTTGGATTCCCCTCTCATCGCCGTACTAGCCGGATCGAAGCATCTATGTGTCATGCACAATCGGATCCGTTCTTCTCTCTCGGTGTTTATCAGCAACTCGAAGCCCGCGAGGGTGTTCCTATTGACCCCCCATCTATCATCTGTCTACCTACCAACCCATCGATTGCGGTATAGGCTGTGGTGCCCGTTCTTCTTCTCTCCGTATGCGCGTTCATGTGACAACACAGCGTAGCGGCGGTGCTCCGGCGAGGTGTACTTCCCGCGTCGTCGTCGTTCTTCAATAAGAGTTTCCCATTCTTCTCCCCCCTCTTCACAGTTCCTCTTGATTCCTTTCTCTCTCGATAGACCCTAAATCCCACACCCCTCCATATCCCTCAACAAACACGCCATCTGCGCCCTCTTCGCCGCCTCCGCCAACAGCGTGGCACTGCTCAGCAGCGGCAGCACATCGTTTGTGCGCGACGGTGGCGGGGTAGGGGGCAGGAAGGAGGCGGGCGAGGAGTTGGGAGAGGAAGTGGGGGAGGTGGTTGAGGAGCGCGTGGAGGAGCGCGTGTTGTAGCTGTGTGGCATTTTTGCTGTGGTGGGTGGTTGTGAGTGATGCGAGAATTGACGATTAGGTTTTGATTGGTGCGAGGTGATTTTGACGACCGACAATTTCGTTGAAGATTTGATTTGACTTTGCAACTTTCAATTCTCGTCCGACCGGGAGAAAGCATACAATATATACTCCTACCCTCTTATCTCACCCACCCTCAGAACCAGCCTCGGCTTCGCGGCTCTATGGCGTCACACCTTCCGCGGTGTCACGCACCTGCAGCTAATACCGCGCCTAAGATCTCACAGTGCCGCGGGTCGAATCAGATGCGACGAAAGGAGCGTGATCGTCGATGACGTGGATATGTTTTGGGAGCGAAGCTTGTGCTAAAGGGCTGTTTATCGCGGAGAGTTTTCATGGGGGCGGACCTCGGCAAGTGCTGAGGGCGTGGGGTTGGTTGTGGTTGTGTGGGGGTCGTTGCGTGGGAGTTTGGGGGCCGGGTGTGGACGGGTTGGTGGGTCGGGAGGAGTAGGAGGCGTGTGATAATGGGAATGAATGGGAATGTGAAATCGGATTATGGGAATTGGGAGGGATGGATGGGATGGGGATGGGGGTTGGGGGGGGGATATATGATTGGAGGGGTATATATGGGGGGGTTATCGGAAGATGTCACCGGGATGAATACTGAATTGTAATATATCAAGTATTACTGTGAATATTACTGTGAATATTACTGTGAATATTACTGTGTACAGACGGGTTTGACATAAAAGGAATGCGTGCTACGGATTGATAAATGATAAAAGTTTGTGATCGGCATCGGCGCCGGCGACGAAAGGCACGTGCGTTGCATGCAGCATCTTTCGATCCCCGGCCGGAGACTCTAATTTTCCATTGCCGTCCACGCTAAACCCACCCAGGCTTAGCAGCCGTTTTCCGTGCACCAAATGTCAACTTCCCCTTCAAGCTCAAGTCCAAGAAATGTACAACACCACATCGCCTCTCACAACCTCCTCCACAACCCACCCGCGGTCCCTACCGCAACAATGCCGTCATCACAAGCACCACCGTCCTCCACCTCCTCACCAAAAGACGAACAATCCAACTCCTCCCAATCAACCGACACCGAAACCGCAACCCTCCCCACCCGCCTCCGCACCCTCTTCACCATCCCCCCCCCCTCCGCACCCTCTTCGACCTCGTCCCCCTGCACACCTACCCCCCCAACCCCCTCCCCCTGCGCTCCCCCTCCCCCTCCCCCTCCCAACCCTCCACATCTTTACCTCCCCCTCCTCCCCCACAGCCCCCTCCCCAAACCCAACCTGCCTAAAACACCAAACCGCCCTGCGCCTCGCCTCCCTCCCGCACACAACCACCAACTCCACAAACCACGCCTCCCCCACCGGCGCCCTCCCCTTCCTCCTCCCGCCCACATCGTCGCCGTTGCTTCCCGCCGCCCTCCTCCCGGTTGGGGCGGGCCAGATCCTCAGTTATGCCACGAAAGCAGGACACCCCCTGCCAGCGCGCCCAGCACACCCGAAGGCCAAGGTCTACGCGTCCCTCATCGACGACGCCATCCGTCCCGCCTGGCTGCACGCCGTCTACCTCACCCCCGCCAACGCCCACCTCCCCACACGCCTCTACCTCGCCCCCGCTACCTCAAGCTGGCTCGTACAAACCTACCAAGGCATATCCCTGCGCCGCGCCGCGAGCGAGCAACTAAAAATCGCTGCGCCGGGGGGAGTGGTGGATGTAGATGACGTGTATGCGAGCGCCGCGGCGGCGTTTGAGGCGCTTGCGGGGGCGCTGGAGGGGGAGGAGTGGGTGCTTGGGGGGGAGGGGGGGCAGGTGACGATGTTGGATGCGGAGGTGTTTGCGTATACGCATTTGGTGTTGGAGGAGGGGATGGGGTGGGGGGATGGGAGGTTGGGGAGGGAGGTTAGGAGGTGGGGGGCGCTGGTGGAGCATCGGGAGAGGGTGTTGAAGACGTGTTGGGGGGTGAATAGGGGGTAATGGGGGAGGTAGGATTGGAATGATAGGGGGGAGTGTGATGTACGAATATGCAGAAGGGTTACGGGTGGATATTCATTGGAGCGTTTTGTAGGAAATACTGTACGAGAAGGACGGGTCTGCATAGACGCACATACTGTACCAAGATAGACAGATCTCCTTCATCACCAGCGGCGTTACGGCGCTAGTCACAAATATTATATCTCTAAACCTTCATATTATATGAACTGTGCATCCTACGTATCCACATGCACGAAACCATCATCCGCTCCCAGTGTCTTCTATACACCGTGTCATCTATTCCTCATCACCACCACGCAGAACTTTAAAACTGCAACCATTCATTCCCACACGAAACTATCCATCAATCCTCATCCCCGCCCCCAGGCCAGAAATCCATAAATCAATCCAACCAACCAACCCAGCCCCACCCACTACACCATCCATGCAAATGCAAACAAAACTCCTCGCGCGTCACACGAGCAAAAACCAACCAATAAACGAACCATGGTAAAAAATGACAAAGAGGAGAAGGGGGTGGGAAGGGGCTGGCCGAAAAAGCGGGACCTGGGAAAGACGGGAATCTAGATCTCTAGAACGGGCTCGGTGATGGCGGGCGTGGCTTCATGTAATCATAGACATTGACAAACGACCCCGGCCCCCCATTCTCAGCCAGATCCTCGGCAAGCACCACAGTTTGTTTGATCAGGCGTTCCAGGGCCGTCGAGGGGGTTTTCCCTTGCGAGACTGTGTTAGGTTAGCGGGTGCTACATAAAGACATGCTGGCACATAGAAGATAATTGAGGACAGCTTACCCAAAATCGCAGAATTCAAATCCTCCGCAAGAGTAACCCTCTTATGCAACGCCAGATGATGCGCCACATCCGGCGAGTTCGCCGGATCCTCATACGCCATCAACGCAAACGCATCCCTCAGCGCCCTCTGCGTACTCCCCCGCTTATCATGCGCGAACTCCGCCGAAATCGCTTTCCCGAAATTAATAGTCTCCTCAAGAAGCCTATCATAATCATCATGCACCGCGCCATTGCTCGCTCCCCCGCCGCTACCACCATCAGTGTCCATCTTATCAAACCCCCCGTTTTGCTCATGCGGGTGGTCGAGCTCCATGTCTTGGTTCACCATGTCGTCGTAGGCGTCGTACTCGTGGTTTCCGTTACTGCGGCCGGCGGAGGCGCGGGAGCGGATCTCGGCCCCGCGGTGGATCATCTCGATGAATTTGCGGCATTGGAGGCGGAAGTAGATGTCCTCGTCCTCTTCGAAGACCTTGGGGTAGTGGGATTCGGTGAGTTGCAGGGCGCTGTCGACGTCGCCGTCGAGGATGGCGTTGCGGATTTCTGTGAGGTTGTTAGCGGGGAAGGGAGGTGGGTGGAGGAGGGGGGGGTTGACCTTGACGCTGGCTTGCGTCGCCGTCGTCGTGAAATTCGAAGCCTTTCACTTCTTCCTTGTTGCCGATGTTTAGGGCTTGCTTCTCGGATCGGACTTCGTCAGAGAAGGCTTTGGCTGTCTCGACGTATCCGTCATGTGCGAGGTACTGTAAGACCTGGTGGAAACATGTTAGGCTCATGGTGCGTAAAACCGGGACGGAATTCTTACCAATGACTGGATCAAACTCGTCTCATCGAGTGGTGGTGCAAGATTCGCAGTACTAAGTCATCATTAGCATGAAATCACAGAGTATAGCTATATATTTACTTACCTTGTCGCCGCAACCTGCTCTTCAATAGCCTTCTTCTCTTTCTGTAATCTAACGTTAGTATGCGCATACGTAGCCAAGAGAATCTGCCGCCAATATCTCTTATCCCTACCCAAACGATCCATTGCGTAGGGGCCTTCCCAGTGGGATGGATTGTGGGACGGACGAGATGAAAACAAAATTCGGATGAGTACTAACCAGTATCATGCTATCAATATCAAACTCAAAGGGACTCTGCCCAAAATTAACCCAGACATGCTCGCCTGGCTTCATCATCCCCACAGACGGAAAGAGCTTCCCTCTAACCTCGCGGAACGCCGTGCCTGCCTAATGTCAGTACAAAGTTAAAGACGGAAGAAGCCAGGGGATGAATATTGTAGTTGCCAATCTTCAACATGGACTACAGCATAAATAAAACCATCCATACCTAAATGATTACCATTCTTGGTAAAGAACGCAGATTCAGTATGAAAGTTAACGCCACATCCAATAACATCATCTGTAGTAAACGTAGGCCCATAGCTCTTTCCCGAACTCTGGCAACAGTACGAATGCCCATCATCACCATGGTACGCCCAAGAATTCGGCTCCCACCCAGGCGGTCTAGATAGCGGCACATCCTTTGTCGAGAATCCGATCGCAATCGAGCTACTACACCAATATTAGCCAACCCATCCCATAATCCTAAGCACGCACACAAGAGAGAGAATCCCTTACTCTTCCACCTTCCTCGACACAATCTTGACCTCAAAATAGTATATCCCCGACTGCACCGGCATCGCATGATCGGCCCTTATCGAATACGCCTCATACTCCGTCGTCTTCCCCCCAGTAAACGCAACCTCGCACCCATCCCTCAGCACCTCCAGCCCCGCATACTTATCATTCGCATTCCACCTCGACGGCAACATCTGCACCCCCTCCGCCTCCGCCGGCGCCGCCTTCTCAATCAGCTCAAACGTCATCCCGCGATGCGACGGCGCCAGTTTCGCCGTTGTATTCAAATTCGCCGTACTCGCACTCGTTGACAGCGATCCGGGCTGCGACGAGTGTCGAGACTGCGCCGCTTCCCTAGCTGCTGCCACCTTCGCTCGGTAGGCTGTCTCGAGCGTCTGGATGTACGCCGACCCTCGCAGGTATGAGGGGACAAAGAAATGGTCCCCTTCCCCGTCGTACCCGTATGTATTGTTCAGCTCGGCGTAGGCACGCGAGTACCGCGGCAGGCCATGCGAGGGTGTCGCCCATGACCCGCCCAGGGTTTGGCGGGGATAGATGAGATTACGATGGTCGGGGCTGGAGAGGAAGCGGCTGCCGTCGAAGCCGAAGACGTCGGAGGTGGGAGCTGTGCCGGAGACGACGGCGGCGTAGGAGGAGCGGCGGGGGACGTGGCCGGGGGGTGCGGTGGGCATGTTCGTGGAGCGGTTCCCGGGGCTTGAGAACGGGTTCGCCATGGCTGGGCTGGTTTCGTGGTTGTGCTCGTTGGAGGGTTATGAGGAGATGGGAAAGTTCGAGATGCAGCTTTGGAGCTGGTATGCGGTTGTTCTAGGCTTATCGGTATATGTCTGTCTCGACTGGGGGTGGATGTCGCAGGTTGTTGACCGGGGGGATGTCGTTGAGGATCACGGTAGGTTCGTCGGCCGAAGCTTGGATGGGGAGACCCAGTGAGCCCGTTTTCTCACGGGAAGGTTCAAAAGATGCACATGTTCGTGCTTGACATTTTATCTCGAGTGGGGGCTCAATGAAGGGACTGTTTATTTGGAGAGTAGGTGTTATTGGTGGTTGGGGAAGAAGAGAATGTCGGTCATCGACGCTGTTACCCTCACTACCACTCCTGCTACTGCTACACCGCGATGAGGTGACAAGCTACAACAGCACCACATGGACCACCGACTAGCGCCATTCGAAACCACAGGGTGGCAAGCGGCCGGAGTTATTGGGCTTCCGGACTTGGGGTACGTACCTATTTGGGTGGGTGGCCAGGAACATTGAAAAGGTTATAACAAAACCACCTTTGCCTTTCTTTACTTACAACTTGTTATATTATATTATACCCAGAAGAGCATCACGGAAATATAAATATGTCCGAAAAAACCTCCGTCCTCTTCGTCTGCCTCGGCAACATCTGCCGCTCCACAATGAGCGAAGGCGTCTTCCAATCCCTCGCCCAGGCGGAGCCATACACAGACCTAATCGATCGCATCGATAGCTGCGGCACGGGGGCTTATCATGTTGGCGACTCGCCGGATCGGAGGACGATGGCGACGCTGAAGGCGAAGGGGGTGAAGGGGTATAAGCATGCTGCTAGACAGGTATTTCCTCCTCCCCTCCCCCAAGAAGAGAACCCCCCCAACTAACAATCCCCCAGCTCCGCCCCTCAGACTTCCAAGAATTCGACTACATCTTTGCCATGGACTCCTCCAACCTCTCCGGCACCTGCCGGATACAACAACTCAAAGCCCCCGACGGCAAAGCCAGGGTCCTCCTCTTCGGCGAGTACAGCGGCGGCAAGGTGGAGCAGATCGAGGACCCGTATTATGGTGACGATGACGGGTTTGAGAAGGCGTATGAGCAGGCGGTCAGGTTTTCGACGAACTTTTTGGAGGAGTTGAGGGGGAAGGAGGGGGGGTTGAAGAATTGAGGGGAGGGGCGAGGAATTAAGGAGGGGGGTTGTGTGGGGGGCAATTGGAGGGGATTTGGATAGAAGATACGATCCTCGGCCTGCCTGCCTTGCCTTCCTCTAAATCGCAGCTGGAATGGGTATGGCTTTGATGCAGTTATGCCCTACCACGCCGTCACGTCATTTCTGGGGCGTTCTCATGGCGTGTAGCCTCGCCGGCATGGAGCACGACGAGCTGGATGGTATGGGGCATATATATCACCAGTGAAACTACTCTCAGACCGCGAGAAGATACCCCAAGCAAGTTTAGAATCACATCAGAAGTCCACAAATAAGACATACCAATCCATTCCCCCTTCTCCTATACGTATAATACACACAACCAACGACCTTAAAGCATGCCCATCTTCCCATCTTTCTATTGTTACAATTCGTAACTCCCCCTTCCCAATTGTCCCACACCCAACCCCCTGAAACGAAAACCCGAGTACAGGCACACAAAAAACCGCGCACCGTAGCACCCAGTACCATACCATTCTGTCCCTCGCCCCGTTCTACCCATGGGATGACCCAACACCCCGATAACGCCAGAAATGACAGAACACCGAAAGAAAAAAACGCACTCGATCCGTTATACACCCCCCACGACGAGAGGGAGACGCCAGACGCCCTTCCAGCTGGTAGACCAGACGCCATAGCAGCTGTCTAAGCAGCAGCAATCATAGCCGGCGCCGGCGAACTCATCTCCACATCCCTCCCCCCACTCTTCTCGCTCTCAACCTGACTATCCTTATTCTCCTTCCCACTACTCCCCTCCCCCTCTCCCTCCTTCCCATTGGCACTCCCATCCCCCTTCACCACAATCTTCGGCGGCGCCCTCCATCTGGGGATCTCCCACGTCGTCCCCGTGAAGCTCTTGATTGCGAACCCGCCGCGGGCCCATTTGCGACACGGGGCGCCGGAGCGGTCGAGCGCGCGCAGACCGGCGTTTATGGCGCCTTGGTTGGCTTTGGGGCCGAGTTTGTGGGCGGTGGAGGGGTGGGGGTTTTTAGAGGATGGGGAGTCTGCGGTGCCGTCGTCACTTTGGGGGTGTTAGTAATTGTCTTCTCTCTTTGTATACAGATGTAGGAATTGGGAATTGGGGTAAGATCGGTGATGGGTGTATGATGTAAGGGATTGGGATGAACTCACAGCTTCCTCTTCTTCGGCCCCGGCTTCCCCCTCGGCTTCACCACCCCATCAACCAGCAAACTCGCCCTCTTCTTCCCCTTCTTCGCTCCCCCCTCAGCAGGCGGCGGCATCGCGACCGAATCGTCCGTCCCGCTCGGCACAGGCGTATTCCCATTCGACGCCTCTCCCTCTCCCTCCGCCAGCGGCGACGCGGTCGGGGCCTTGGAACCCGACAGCGACGAGGTGGATGACGACGCGGGTTTGTCGTCTGCGGTTCGGGACTCGCTCTTGATGGCTTCGGTGGCGGGCTGGAACTTGGCGAGGGAGGCAGAGGAGAGCTTTAGCCGGACGATGAGGGATTTGGCGGAGGGTTTCTTGGATCGACTACCCCCGGACGTCGAGGGGGAGGCTTTGTGCGCGCTGGCCATGGTGTGCGCGTGCGAGTGTCGCGTTTGGTGGTGGGAGGCAAACCGACGATGGGGTTTTCTTTGTACGTGTGTCTGATGGGGGGCGTCGTGATGATGGCGTCGTTTTGAGTGACGGACGGGCGGGTGGTTTTACGGGGATAGATCGATCGACGACGACTCAGATTATGGTGGTGGTGACGATGAGGTTGTAGTCGTGATGTGATGGTTAGTTTATTTGATGAAATGAAGGATGGGTGATGATGGATTGTGTCGGTGTTGGGTTTTGGGGTGTGGTAATTATGGGTATGGGATGGGATGATGCCAAAGTGGCATTGATAGCCTTTTGTTCGGGGCCATGGTGGTCTACTAATACTAAGGAAGGGCGGATGTAGGTGAGTAGTGAGCCTTTCCAACACAACAATACAACCCGCAACACAACCCAGAGGAGGCAGAGTAGGGGAAGTTACCAAGTAACTAGTTGCTCGTGGGTTTGGCTGCTATTTTCCTCGCTTGCATTGCCGGATGGAGGTAAGCGTGGGTATACGAGTAATTACTGTGCATTAGTACTAGTAGTACGTAGTTAGTACCTACTAGGTAGTAGAGTACCGGTGGGATTACACTACGACTATTTTGGTGGAGTTAGGAGGGTGAGGTGGTTGGGATTTGGGTTGTCTAGTTGGTTGTATGGGGCGTTGTATGGTGGGGAGTAGTCGGTGGAGGTATATGGTACATGCACTCTCTACTCTGCCTACTACCCCGAAAAACCAGAATATCAAAGATGAAGGCCAGGATCCTATGACGATGGCCACAAACCTTCACCGCCACGGCTGCCTGGCCACGGCGCCTCGAAGATGGGAGCTTAAGGTTGCTGAAGCAAAGCAACAGCTGCGCTTTGTATAGTACACGAATAAGAACCTCTCTTTGCATCTTGATTATCACTGTTCCGAGCCTCACACGGCGTCATTGGAACAAGCATCACCACACGCAATTCAAGATGTGTGGCCGCTACTCCCTCTCAATGGTAACAACCCCTTTCCCTCCCCTCCTCCCCCTCATCCAGCAACCCACACTAACCTCCCTCCCAGCGCCCCTCCCAAGTCCGCACCCACCTCCGTACAGACCTCAACATGCCCGTCTCCTCCGCCCCCCCCGACGAAGGAGACGACGCCCCGCGGCGGACCTATAACTTCGCCCCAACATATCGCGGGTTGGTTTATAGGGCTGCTGGGCATGATGGGGGTAAGGAGGGTGAGAAGGATGGGGGAGAGAAGGATGGGGGAGAGAAGGATGGGGGAGAGAAGGATGGGGGAGAAAAGGATGGGGGAGAGAAGGGGAAACAGGGGGTGGTTGAAGAGGGAGAGGGGGAGAAGGAAGTTCAGTATAAACTACAAACCATGAAATGGGGTTCGTACCACCTCTCTCGTTCCTTTCTTCTATTAGTCGGGTCGTCAGTTCATTTTTTACGTGTCGTTCCTTCCCTCTAAGAGTCGGTCGTTCCTTCTTTCTTGAGTCGGTCGCTCTTTCCTTCTTTCTCGAGTCGGTCGCTCTTTCCTACTGCAGCCACTCGTTCTTTTCTCCCTCACTAGATCCAAGCTCACAAATCATTGCTAGGACTGATCCCCTCCTGGACCAAGCGTGCCCCTGATTTCTCGGCCTCGCTGAAGACGATCAATTGCAGGGCGGAGTCTCTAATGTCCACTCACGGCATGTGGACGTCTATGAAGCAGCGGAAACGCTGTGTTGTGCTTGTGGAGGGGTTTTATGAGTGGCTCCATCGCGGACGCGATAAGATCCCACACTACGTCAAGCGGAAAGATGGGGGGATGTTGTGTCTTGCTGGGTTATGGGATCGTGTGAAATACGAGGGGGGAGAGGCGGTGTATACGTATACCATCGTGACGAGGGCGAGTAGTAGACAGTTGAGTTTCTTGCATGACCGTATGCCGGTGATGCTTGAGCCGGGCGGGGAGGAGATGTGGAGGTGGTTGGATCCGAAGAGGGGGTGGGTGGATGGGGTGGCGGGGTGTTTGAGGGGGTGGGAGGGGGAGGTGGAGGGGGCGTTGGAGGTATTTGAGGTGGATAGGGGGGTTGGAAAGGTTGGGAATGATTCAGCGGATTTCGTGGTACCGGTGGGGAAGGGGAAGGGGGGATTAAGGGTTTCTTTGGGGGGAAGAAGGGGGAAGGAGAGAATAAGGAGGAGGTTAAGGATGAACTGGGCAAGAAAGAGGAATTTGAGGATGGAGTAGGGAAGAAAGAGGAGGTCAAGGATGAAGGAGTCAAGAAAGAAGAAGAGCAAGACAACAAACGCAACATAAAACACGAACGAACGACCAAGAAAGAAGAACACAACGAAGGAGACATCAAAATGGAATCAATCGAAGCCCACCATCCAGATTCGAAACACGCCCGCCAATGGGAGCCACCAAAAAGGGAAGAAGTGGACGAACAGGAGGAATACAAAACAGAACCCCCAAAGCAAGAACCCCCCTCCTCGCCAGCAAAAAAAGAAGAAAAGGGCAAACAAGGTATCAAGCGCGAGCATGACGATAACCTTGATCTTGATAAAGCGGAGCCGGTTAATAAAGTGGCAAGGACGTCGGCGAGTCCGCTGAAGAGTGAGGGGAGGGGGTTGAGGAGTTCGACGAGGAATGACAGGGGCGTTGTAGTGCCGAAGAAAGGGAAGAAGGGAGAGAAGGGGGAACAGAAGATTACGGGGTTTTTTGGGAAGAAGTAGGTGGGTAAGGGTTGGCGTTCGGGTGGATGGATGGAGTTTGAGAGTATGTGGAAATTTGTGGACATGGAGAGTATGATCCAAATTTATATTGGGAAGTATATGGATATCTGTCACGGTGCAGAGTATATTCGAAGAATAAATAACTTTTATTATACCCAAACATGCAATGCATCAAAATCACAAAAACATCACATCATAACTAGGATCGCAGGATAGATTTTTACGTTTAAAAGTTCCTATTTTCCACCGATCGTCTGCCCTAAAGCAAATGTCCTGTGAAATACAACCCGCCCCGAGGAAGAGCCAGATATCGCAAAAGCCCGCAGTTCCCTATCCCCAGCCCGACAGCAGATTTAACCATTTAGCAAACCCCATAATCTAAGCCCTCGACATGACGCCCCACGCGCGGATGTGGTTATCGGTGTAACCCGCGAACAGAGTCTGCCCATCAGCGCTCCACGCCAGGGAGACGCACTCCGGCTCGCGGCTCTTCTTGCCGACGGCGGCGAACTCGGGCTTGAGCTCGTCAACCTTGCTCTTCTTCTCGAGGTCGAAGATGATGATGCTGCTCGAGGTGGCGGCGCACAGCCAGTACCTGTTGGGGGAGAAGACCAGCGCGTGGATCTCGTCGCCGGCGTTGAGGGAGTAGAGGTGCTTGGACTCGTTGAGGTCCCACAGCATGGTGGTTCCGTCCTTGCCACCGGAGGCGCACAGGGATCCGTCAGGGGAGATGGTGACGGTGTTGATGTAGCCGGTGTGACCAATGTGGTCGGTCTGGAGGCGGCAGGAAGAGAGCTCCCAAACCTGAATGATCAAAGTCAGTAAACGTGATCATTGTTTTTGCATATTTTGTTAGCAAAATGCGGCTATGTGGACCATATCAGAAATTTGGTGAATGTTTGTCTCATGGCAAGGTCTCCCAAGCTCTGAAGTAGCAAATACTTTAATTCGTTTGTAACATCATATAGGTCCACATGCGCGCGATTCTGCCGATGGAGTAGTGTACTGACCTTGACGAGCTTGTCCCATCCGGAGGAGACGATAACCGGGTTCTGGGGGTTGGGGCTAAAGCGGACACAGGAAACCCACTCGGAGTGGCCCTTCTCGGTGATTGTGAACTTGCAGTCACCAAGGGTGTTCCAGAGCTTGATCGAGCGATCTCTTGAGCCGGAAACGATCTGCCTGTTGTCGGCGGAGAAGGAGACGGAGAGAACATCGTTGGTGTGTCCGACGAAGCGACGGGTGGTGGTGCCGGTGGAAAGCTCCCAGAGGCGGAGAGTCTTGTCCCACGAGGCAGAGAGAGCGTAGGCACCGTCTGAGGAGATGACCTACGCGCGTGTTAATTTTTGTTCTTCACAATCGTCATCTTGGCAAAAATGGCTGAACGTACGCAGTCGGAGATGATGTGGGAGTGGCCGTGGAGGGAGCGCTTTGGGTATCCGTAAGAGCTCTCATCGCGGGTCAGGTTCCAGATGATCAGAGTCTTATCTCTGCTACCAGACAGGAGCATGTTTGGGCTATCCAGAACGTCAGCATCGATTCTTCGAAGAAACTTCGCTGCCATTTTTGCGCTTACTTCTCCATTGAGGTAGCCAAGCTGGTGACCCAGCCGCTGTGGCCCTCAAGGGTGCCCTTCAGGATAAGTTGTTCCGTCATGTTGGGCGGGATTGACGTTTCTTTCGAGTTGAAGGTGGTGAAAGCGTAGAGATATCCTTCGATCTCAGATGACTTCGCTATCGTCAAAGTCAGTGTGGGAATTGTTAGGGTTGTCGTTTATTTCCGCGCTAAAATTTAAGGTTGGGTGGGCGCCGATTGAAAGTCACTCGAACCACCAAAACCAAAAAACACTGGCCAGTTGCAAATCGAGTTTACTAAGAGAAGTTCTACTATTACAGCGTCAAATTATAGAAAATATTTTTTAATTATGGTCTTCTTCTGATATATCTTGTTTAAGAGAGTATTTTTGAATTTCTTGGCAGGTGGCTCTTGTAACTGTACTTATTAATACATGGTTCCGGTTCTGGCCGATCAAAAAGTGAAGAGGAAAATTCAGTAAATACGAAGTGAATTTCAGCTAGTTAGGCCTACGGGGTGTTGTCCCTGGCATCCTATAGATATATTGCTCCAATTTATAGTATTCATTGACAATGCTGCGTTTCAAAGGCGTTCCAAAGCGCGAATCAGTCCCCCTCGTCATCAACTGTAGTCAGCAATATCCTACGCCCATAGAACACCAGGCAATAACAAAGTGAAACTGCAATATAGTATGGCTTGTTCGGACGCTGAAAGGCTCATGAAGCTTTCATAACCCATACCAACATGAGAAACACCTGGAAGGGCTTCATGCTCAACTTGCTTTCATGACGTGGATAACAGCCCAGACCACTCCAGCAATGAATGTTAGCCCATAGAATTCACCAGTGCAGAGCTTGAATAACAGCATATAACAGAGATTACTGAGTTGATGTTCTATTCAGGACCGCTTGGCGTTTTGTACAGTTCGACCCTTGAAGGGCACCATCGAGTATCTTCAACCACCTTCTATTCCACCAGCCCTATCCCACCCCATATTCCACTGAACCATCCCTTTGCTTTCCCAATCGAACCAAGGAATCCGCAATCTTTGACTTATTGGATTTGGTTGGCGACTCTCTTCTCCTCCAGCTTGGCGTAGTATGCATCGCGCCTGTGGACGATTGGCATGTGGAAGCCGTACCTATATAAAAGTCAACACATAGCCCACGTAGATAGAATGAGTAGCTGGTTATACACACCAAAAGGCGTAGCCGGTAGCCCCTCCGATACCTATTTCCAGTCACATCAGTCAAGGTGCCCTCCAAGTGCCTGCCAGACAGCAAGGGTCATCCGTCCGTCAATTGCACGTCTCTGCCAATTGTACGCCAGCAACCCATAGACGAATAGCCCCTCCCATCTGACATTGCGACAGCCCATCATTACTCACCCAAGGCGATACTGAGGTCGAGGACGAGGCTCCTGCGGAGCATCTGCAAAAAGAGGTCAGCCAAGGAACGACAACTCCACAGCACCACCGCCGGCAACGATATCAGCTGGAACTGAGATCCAATTGAATTACTTACTCCGGTAATTGGTTTGATAGCCATTTTGAAAGGAGAGTGATGTTGTAGAGCGAACGGGGTTCGGGAGTTGTGATTGCTTATTGTGACGATTGACGTGAGGTGGTGGACGTCGGCTCAGCGGTAGGAGCTAAGGCGAGAATGTTGAGCCTGAGGATGCCGGGCCAATCAGCGTCGCGTCGCGACCAGCTCTCCAGGCCCGGACCTCAGATTCACAACTACCACTCACGAGGAGGATATGGTGTGGAAGCACATGCGACAACTCGGATTCTTGGGATGGAGGAACCGGATATTCCAAAAAGGCCTATAAGCCCGAATTCGATACCTGCGTCACGGCCACACTCCGTAGCCAACGACGGGATACAAGACACAAACTCTCCAGATGCGCCTTCTCTACCATCAAGAAAACGGTCCAGCTCCACCCAGACAGCACGCAGGCCATCTGAAGAGCCAGCTGCAAAAAGGCTGCGCACTGCAGAGGCAGAGGAAGCAATCACAGTCACCGTCGAACCACCAAGCACCTCATGGGACGATCTCATCACCGCCGTACCATACTCGAAACCTCTCTTCGCCGAGCAGCCGCAATACCTCCTCGAGCGGTCTGCTGCGTTGATCCTAAACCACGTCGGATTTGATGGCGCATCAAAAGAGGCCTTGGAGAGCATATGCGCCCAGGCTAGCGCATGTATGTGCCCTGGTTTGCATTGAGCAAGCACATCACTAACGTCCATTTAGATGCCGACAAGTTCCTCTCCTACGTGACTGAATCGATGCTCTCCTGCCGCCGAGCCCAACCTATACCTCTCGATTACGAATATGCCCTTCGACGGCATGGGCTCACAGACAGTCTACTCAGACCCCATCTCAAACCTCCCGTCCCTCGATCTAAGACCCAACTTGTCTTCGAAGCTCAAGAGCCAGAGATACAAGACGTCCAAGTCATCCCCGAACTTCTCGGCCAGGAGCTCAGTGGCGCGGTGGATAAGCTCACGAAACCATTTATACCAAAGCAGTTCCCGGCTTTCCCCAGCAAACACACATACAAAGCAACTGAGGTCATGCCAGACCGGGAGACTGACCCGAGAAAGATCCGAGAGAAGGCGACCGAGGCATCAAGACACGGAGAAGAGGCTTTGCGACGCCTAGTTGGCGTTGGTAAGGTTGGAGACCAGAAGGGCGTCAGGAAGGCACTTTTCAAGAGCCCTGCGAAGAAGCACAGGCATGATCTGTGGGATCTGGCTATGCAAGATCTCAAGTTAAACACTGTGCAAACCGCCGCCGCGAAGCCTGAGCTAGACGGGTCTGAGAGGGGTATTTTAATCGATGCTGGAAGGAAATACGGCAGGCAGTCTACAACAATGGCCAAGAATTAGTTTGCGTGGGATGGGTTCGTGGGGAGCGATTTTGGGATTGTGGGTGGCGCTCTGGGATTTGAAGCATAGCGAGGCGTTCAGAGAAAGACTAATAGGGAATGTGACTGGTTACAAAGATTCGAGGTGTCAGGAACGGATGGCAATGGGATTCGGAATGGGAATTGTCATCGGCGATATGGCTATATCCCACATTATCAACAAATAAAAGGTCTGAGGATCTCTTGTGTATCATCTGTAAAAGAGTCGCTGTTATTGCTGTGTGATATCCATCTTGAAACTTGAACCCAGTAACTGAAGCACAGTAACTCCAGCCAACTCCATAAACACCGAATCGCCCAAACCTCCCACCTGCGCCAAATCTCCATATAAACTCCCGCAGCCCCCCCAACTCCACAACCTCACTTCTTCTTCTCCCCCTCCCACGCCGTCGTCTCAACCAAAAAACTCCCATTCCGATCCTGACACCTACAATCATCAGCACACATCCCATTCTACCCCCAACCGCACCATCAACTCACCTCCTAAACAACCTCGAAATAGTCGTACACTGCACAATCGACTCCCTCGTCATCTCCCCCTTTCCGTAACCCTGGATACCACACGAATACTGCAGTATCTCCAGCATCTCGCATTCTTCCAGCTTCAGTCCCTCAATCCCTTTCCGGCGCTTTCCGTTCACGTCGCCCATCACGCGCGTGGGCAGCTCGGCCGCGCTCCAGGTCTCGACGGGGGGTGCCATTTTGATGGTGCTGGTGCTGTCGCCGGAGACAGTGGATAGGAAGGTAGGTTGTAACGATGGCGATGGCGCAGGGAGCGCGGTTGCTAGGCGAAATCGAAGTCGGCACGCTTGATGAGGTATGTACACCCTTTCCCTTTCCTTGCTCTCTTTTCCGATTTTCGTTCCCGCCGCGGTGGTGGTGGTGGTGATGCGAAGTTGTCGCACGAGTCCGTTATCGATAACGCGCAAGGCTGACATCACAACCAGCTCTTCCGCGACCTCAAATCCCTACAACCCCCCACCATCGCGCCCGGCCGCCTGGGTATCCCAGAGCTTGACGAGATCTGGGATCGGCGCGGGGGGCAGCTGTACGTGTGTGGGCGCTACAAGGCGCTGTTGTATCATATCGTGTCTACCGCTGTTTCGGCGCCGCGGTCAGGTGTCGCGCTGGTGGTAGATGTGGATGGGCGGTTTGATGTTACGCGGTTGAGTTGCTCGGAGGAGGAGTTGAGGCATGTGTATGTGGTTAGGACGGGGAAGGAGGGGGTGGAGAGGTGTCTAGAGGAGGGGAGGAGGTGGTTGGTTTATGGGGAGCATGGGAGTAAGGGGAGGGAGCTGGGGGTGCGGGTTGTGAGTGGTGGGGAGGGGGGGAAGGAGGCGGATGTAGTGGGGTGTTGGAGGGGTTGGATGAGGGTGCAGAGGGGGGTGGGGGTGGAGGGGTTTGGAGGGGGGATTAGTGTTGAGGAGGCGATGAGGGAGAGGGGAGAGAGGCAGATGGTGGTGGAGGGGAGCGGGTGGCGGGCGGAGAGCGATTATGGGGAGTTTAGGTGGTTGGAGGAGTAGAGCTGCGAGATAGTTTTGAAGATAATATGTTCATTTGCTTATTGTAGCTTCCTCCTAATCGTTGCGGTATATACTCAGACACAGATACATTGCGATATAATTGCAGATTTTCGCCAACTACAACTTCGAGAATGTAGGCTTCGTCTTCTTGATCCCAGAAAGAAGAGCGGCCTTGACGTCGTCGGTGTGTAAAGCAGCGGAGTTCCAGACTCCAGTGTAACGGAGAGCTATCATAGTTAGTGAATGCCCTCAAAATGGAGGGGGATATGTGACTTACTCGCAGCAGTGGTGTTCTCTCTCGCGTGGTTCAGGAGCTCCTTGGTGCCCTGGACAGCGATGGGGCTCTTCGAGGCGATCAGGGTGGCCAATCCGACGGCCTTCTGGACTGCCTTCTCCTTGTTCTCCTCAACGTGGCTCACAAATCCCACCTGGCGTGCCTCCTCGGCGGTAAAGATACGGGCCGTCAATGTCACCTCCTTGACCCAGCTGTGGTTACCGACGATCTTTGGCAGTCTGGCAAGGGTGCCGATGTCTGCGGCAAGACCGATGTCGACCTCCTTAACAGAGAACTTTGCGTCTTTTGAGGCAATACGGATATCCGCGCAGCAAGACAGATCAATGGCGAGACCGAACGCATAGCCGTGTATAGCCGCAATCACCGCTGTGCCATGATCAGTAACGGCTCCTTAAACGATCAAGAAGGAATAACGTACGCTTCTCGCACTTCTCCAAAGAAGAGATGCAGTTCTGGAACTCCTCGACATGGCGACGGATCTGCACGGATTGGCGAGCAATATCTAATTTGTTCTCGCCGCCACCCAAGACGCCGCCCTGGCTGGCAGCCTGCACATCGAGCCCAGTGGTGAATGCCTTATCTCCGGCTCCCGAGAATACAACGGCGCGGACGTTGGAGTCGACAGAGAGCTTGTTGAAGATCTGGTTCAGCTCCAGCCACATGGGCTCATGGTACGCATTGAACTTGGCCGGGCGGTTGGTTTGCACATGGGCCACATACTCGGCGGGAGATGTGACGAGGAACCACTTGAGGTCGGTATATCCTTCGATAGACATGGCGGCGGTATATGGGGATTATGGGTATTTGGAGAGGGTAAAAAATAGAATGGTAATTAGTACATAAGATATAATATATGCGTTCGGATTTTTCAACCAGTACCACATAAACGGCCCAAGACTATCAAGAAGCTACCCCAGAATTTCCAGAATTTGTGATCATGCCTCGGCAAGTTTGGGTAGCACGCACCTTGGCGGGGCGTGCAATGGACAACGACGTATTATAGGTGGTTCTTTATCTTCCAACGCCAATGCCGAACTGCTTTCTGGATGAAACCAGAAACTCTTCCCCTTGAAGAACATGAAATGAGGAACATGAAATGAGACATGGTCATGTAACAGGGCCAGGAGGATGCAGCCGTCCAAGAACGGCAGAGACTATCCCAATAGGGAGTTTGATAGTCAAATTCTGGTGATATAACGCTGATATTGACAACAATCGGGAGTCTGGACACGTTGTCTACTTCTCTCCGTCTGACAATTGCGTATATATCATGTTTGCTTTTCTGTGTCTGTTCAAAGGGGGGGGTTGGTGTCGGTGCTGCTAATTGATCTCCCCAGCCAACGAGATATGTTGAGAATGAATGGGGGGTGGAATCTGTGTGCCATATGCATGTCTCAAGCAGTTTGACCGTGTCCATGTCACAGAAGCGCCGTACTCTGGTAGGTGAGTTGGCAGAGTAGCTGGACGCACACTACATGGCCTGCCAGTCTCACGCGTTTACGGCGCCTGTATCCGCCGCCAACACTAACAACTCCCCTCTCTGTCCCCTCTCTGTCCCCTCTCTGTCCCCTCTCCTCTCCTCTCCCCTCTCCCCTCCCCTCTCCATCTCCCCTCTCCTCCTCCCCGCCTTCCATACTGCAAGAGTCATCTGTGAGATATCTGCTAGAACAACTCCCGTACGTGCCAAATCCTTACACGCACGTTCTTACAGGAATCTGTCTCCGCACAGCCCTTGTCTATCGGTAATATCCTACCCACATGGTTTCAATAACCCCAAAACTTCACAATTTTCATACATCATACATTACTCTTACCTACATACAGCACGACGTCTGCTGACTTGCGAACGCGGACGCGGAAAGGCAGGAAGATCTTTTGTCTTTAACCGCCCTACATACATATATATATAATATGGCGACCTGCAGAACCCCACTGTATTTCGCAGTTTTATCGTAACACAGATCTGGAGGATCCCCAGTGCAGTGCATACCGATCTCGCCCACTCAACACCCACCCGCCACTGTTGGCCAACCTCCAGACCGCATTCTCGAGCCACTCCACCAACCACAACACATTCTTCAGCTATATACAATCCAGGGGGGAGTTGATCGTGCGTGCGCATGAAGTAGCACGACGATATGTTTAAGATCAATGAGGGCGACGTGCCGTTCGTGCGGACACGGCGGGCGCTACTCGTCCTCGACCTCCAAAAGAACCTCGTTGCACCAGGAGGGATAACACCCGTCGAACTACCACCGACTCTCGCCGACCATGTAGCCAAACTGGTCCCCGTTTTTCGACAATCCGGCACAGTCATTTGGGTTAAAAGCGAATTCGAGCAAGCCCGTCCTATAAATGATGGCACAAGTCGATGCGAAAATGTTATCACCGACGACGAGGTCGTGATACGGCCTCCGAAGCCATCTCCCGCCAGACACTCATTACGAGGTTCCAAAAAATTGCAAGCGATGATGGAGAAGCTTGATACTGAAGCTTCTGCGGATCTCGATTTGGAAGGGGCAGGGCCGATTGAGGTGGATGATAAAAATACACCCGATGAGCCAGAGGAGGCGGTGGAAGAAAGTGAGGCTTTCCTATCTTTGGAGCCTGGGAAGGAACACATGTCACTCAAGGGCAGGGCATCCGATTCTGGTCTGGTACCTGCTTTGGAAGCTGTGGTGGACCAATCCAAGGACATGTTCTTCACGAAGTCGTACTACTCTGCGTTCAAACCGAGTCTATTACTACAGACTCTGAGGAGCCAGTTTGTCACGGAGATTTTTATATGCGGAGCTCTGACAAATATGAGCGTGTTTGCAACGGCAATGGATGCCGCACGCTACGGATACGCAATTACTCTTGTCGACGACTGCCTTGGCTACCGAAACAAGGCCAGACATGACCAAGCTCTACGGTCTCTAGATGAGGCAACTGGCTGCGATATGTCCACCAGCTCATACGTCATTGAGGAAATTCAGAAAAAGTCCAAGCAGTCGTCTAAAAGTGAAAAGACGGCATCGAAAAGGCCGGTACGTCAAAACCCGGACACCGAAAATATTAACCAGATGCTGGAAAAGTTGAAGCTGAGAAGTGACCCGAAAGCATCTTCAATCGCCGAGCCCGTCCCCGAAAAGGCTGTTCAGAAGGATGTTAATACCCAAACTTCAGCCGTGAAGCGTGATGGGGGACCTGGACCCAATGAAGCCACGACTTCGGATGCGACGATGCCCGAGGTATCGCAACCCCGACCAACAGCTGAAGCTAGTATCAAGAGGCGTGTCCCGAACAAAACCAAAATTCGTCGCCGTACGTCGAACCGGGTAGCGCCCGAGTCCAGCGAGAGCAAGGCTAAGGTTGATCCAAAGCAATCAAAGGAGGCAGCGTCGCCCTCACCATCTGCTGCTATGGCTCCATCGGAAGCCTCAGGAAAGGGCAAGGAAAAGGCGAAAGATGAGTCAAATGGCGTCAAGCCGATACCAGAGAAGCCGAGCCCACCACCTCGATCCCAAGAAGATGAGCCAAAAAAGAAAGATCCAGTTGTTTCTCCACCTGCTCCCACTGCCAAGGATGCCGTGGCCGCTTCTACGCCGGCAAAGGAGAATGGCCTGAAGACAGAGGAGCAACCTTTGAGCAGTGACAGTGACGAATCATCTTTGACTTCCACAGAAGGAGAGCCGATTTGTGAGGGCGACACAGTTATTATTACTGATCTACTTCCGAGTAAAGAAGAGGCGGGGATATTTGAAAGGGTCAAGACGGAGGTACAGTGGCAGAGGATGTCTCATCAAGGTGGAGAGGTTCCGAGGCTGGTCGCCGTTCAAGGTGAGATTGGAAAAGATGGAAGCATCCCTATATATCGACACCCAGCAGATGAGTCTCCGCCACTGCTCGGATTCTCTCCCGTGGTAACTGTCATTCGACGGGAAGTCGAGAAGAAGCTAGGTCACCCAGTCAACCACTGCCTGATCCAGCTCTACCGTAGTGGAATAGACTACATCTCAGAACACAGTGACAAGACTCTGGATGTCGTTCCTGACACCTACATCGCCAATGTGAGTCTCGGGGCTCAACGCATCATGACTTTCAGAACCAAGAGGACCCTGAAGGATGGAAAACAGCTCCAAACAGACGAGGAACACCCCCGATCAACTTGCAAAGCCGCACTCCCTCATAACTCCCTATGCCGCATGGGCCTCATGACAAACATGCGCTGGCTCCACAGTATCCGCCAGGACAAGCGCCTCGACCGTGACAAATCCACCGAAGAGCTCGACTACGGCGGAATGCGAATCTCCCTAACCTTCCGCCTCATCGGCACCTTCCTCGACAAAGACCAAGCCAAAGTATGGGGCCAAGGCGCCGTCGCCAAACACAAGCGCCACGCGCGCCCCGTCGTTAACGGGGCCACACCCGTAGCTCAGAAGATGATCGAGGCCTTTGGGACAGAGAACCGTTCCAGCGACTTTGACTGGCCCGAGGTCTACGGCCAGGGCTTCGACGCCCTCCACATCTCTAACACGCGGAAACTCCTCTTATCCGGCAACTCCGTGGTCGATATTGGAATCGTAGCATACCTCGCCCACCTCGGCCTAGATTGGGCCTCAAGCAGTATCGCCGCGCCTGTCGACCCCAGTCTGGGGACGGCAGATGCGCCGGTCATGAAGCTCGTCGACAATGACCTGAGCCTCTCCACCGTCGAGGGGCCCTCTGCCATCTTCCTCTACCTGTACATGGTCTACGCCGCACCCTCTCTAGCACCCACCCCACTGCTATACTCGCGCCTGTTCACACGCCTCCACCACGCCCTCGACCTGGGCGCGCGCCGCAAGAGCGACTCGCGCGCCCTAGACGCGTGGGAAAGGTACGCGGCTGAGGATGCGTTCATAGCTGGATCAGCGCCATCGATAGCCGATTTTGCTTTTTGGCCTGTGCTGAGGGCGATTGTGGCTGCGAGGGGCGGTGGGGATGAGTTTCCGAGGCTGAAAGCGTATTTTCGGCGTATGGGGGGGTTGGGGGCTGTTAAGGAGGCGGTGGTGGCCCTGGAGGAGGGATCTTGGGTTTGGGATTTGGGATTAGGGTATTAATGAGGCATTAGGTGGGTCATGTCATAGATCTATAGTGGGAGGAATTTATATCCATTCTATCTTCTGTATGTTCATCCTCTTCGGATTTTCCCAACGAATCTATCTCGTGTCCATGAAACTCCCTGTCTCCAATCTCCAAATCGCCGCTGTAAAGTCGTCTGCATTTATTTTCCATCCCATAAAATCTCCGCCCGAACCCTCCCAAACTCCTCAACCACATACCCACCCCATACTCCCCTCTAATCCGACCCCGACTCATCCGCCGGCTGCTGCGTCTCCTTAAGTTTCTACATATCATCACCATTAGCAGAGCCCCCCATCACACACTGCGCACGGCCAACTCACGTCTTCAAGCATCATCTTCAGCGTCCCCAATTTGGCCTCGTTGATAACGAGTGTCTGGTCATCTAGCTCCTCGACGATGAAGTCGTTGCGCTCGCTGTCGAGTTTGACGATTATGGCTTTGATGGAGGGGTCGCATTCGACGAGGACGCCTGGGTGGGTTAGTGCTGGGTCAGGGAGGGAATGGTCGGGAAATGGGAGTGATGGGGGGGGGGCGGACCTCGGATTGCGCGGGGCATTTTGGAGAGAGCTGGTGACGTTGAAAAGGGTGTTGATTTGTATACCTAACCCGTAGACGTATTTAATACATCAATCCATCCAGCGTTGTCGTTGACCCAGATCTTCCCTCCAGCGCCCTTGACGTCAAATCATCCCCGACGTCCCATCGCAGCCTTACAGCCTTGCCTAGCCCACCCGCACAGACCACCATAGCTTATCGGCCACAGCGGGGTGGGGACGAGTGGATGCGATAAGCATGGGCCAAGGAACAAGGTGTATCCGTAGCTTCCGGTACTGTTTATGTGGTCTGGTAGGTTGAGACTGACCTCATGGGCTATGGGGGATTACGTCTTCGGGGGGTTCGGTAGTTAGAAGGGGGGAAGGGGGAGGGCGATAGGGGAGCTTGAGAGGGGAATCTTGTTTATGGGTATAGGATCTCTGTTATTTCAATTGTGAGGATTTATACTGGTTTATTTAATAAGGGTCTGGTCGGCATATATTTTTATATACCAACGCCAACGCATACAGCTTCATATACGAATCTACAGCATATATTCAACACGAACAAAAGGCTGTACTGTATAATCCATTACACTAAGTACAGAATCCCCTAACATAGCGCGTCCCGTGGTGAGTAATGGACCCTGTGCAACCCCTTACAGCTCCCCACGCACCTTTCTCGTCGTCATCTATCAAACCCTCCTCTCGATTACCATAACGGATTACACTTACAACTTGTTTGGCAGGACACAAAAACAAACATACCACGCGTATCCTTTGCGCCAGCCGATTTATCATGTTGGAGCTGGGTATGGTGCACTGAACGCTGTTGTTCGACAAACATTTACAAGCATCACCTTTTCTGTGCGGGAGTTGGGAGAATTAAGGATATACAACTTCGGCAGCTTTCTCAGTTTGGAAGGGGATAAGACTCGAATATATCCCTAAGATCGAAGGACTCGAATATCTCGACATTCTTATACTCGAAGAGCCATCTCCTCACTCACATTGACATAACACACACACACGAACCTCACATACCACCACCACCACAACCACAAAATGTCTAACCCCATACCCCCAGCCGTCTTCCCCCAAACAACCACCACCCCCGCCAAACCAACGCTCTCCCTCGCCCCCAGCACCTCAACCCCCTCCTCCACCCACCCCTCAACCTACCTCTTCCTCCTCCTCCTCGCCCTCCTCCTCTTCCTCATAACCTTCTACCTCATCTCTCGCCGTCACCGCGCCCGCGCCCTCGCCGCCCGGCACGCCGGCGTCCGCGCCCTGGCTCTCGACGTCGAAGCACTCACCGGCTCTCAGCACCCGCGCACCCTCTCCCCTTCGACGCCATTGCCGCCGCGGGGATGGAGGTTCGCGAGGCTACTGAGGTTGCCGACGAGACGGAGGGTCGTGGATGAGGATGCGGATTGGGAGTTGGATGTTGATGAGGTGGGGCGGGCGCCGCCGCCTTATGTGGGGGAGTGGAAGGAGGGACGGGGGGATGCGGGGTTGCCGGCTTATGAGGAGGTTTGTGGGGGTGCGGGAGTTGGGGTGGTGGGGGGGACGGTGGATGAGGTTGGGTTGAGGAGGAGTGAGGGGGAGGGGTTGAGGGTTCCGGAGAGGGTGGCTAGGAGGGGGAGTGAGGGGGATTGGAGGGGGGGGAGAAGGGGGGAGAGGGACTTGGAGGAGGAGAGGAGGAGGGAGAGTGCTTAGGGGGGTTGGGAAGGGAGGGGTTAAGGAGTCTGGGCGGATAAAGGGGATTTAGACTTAGATTTAGACTTAGATAAGTTATGTTAAGGTTTTAGATAGCTATGTGAGTTTAGCTATGAGTAATGAATATTAATGTATACAGTGAAATAATTTACCCAATTTAACTACTTTGCAGCAAACTGGCTGCTGTTTTCAGCTGCTTTGGGCGCTGCTTTGTGCAGCCGGGTTGCCAAAATCTCACGCTGCTCTAACGCTTGGGTGCCTGATAGCAAAGAGACCCGGACCTAGTCGAGCGACGGAGGAACATCAAAACCAGAGCGAGGTAGGTTGAAGGTGGGAAACAGCTTCTCGTCTTCGACTTTGAAGCAGCCGTTTTGGCCATAAGAATATGGGTGCCCTCCAGCCCCTTGTGACTAACGATGGCTTTCCTTATATTCCTTTGTCCACCCTCCCTTTCCTTCCCACCAAATCTCCAAGCTCAATCCCCTCTTCTCGCTCCCGTTTCTTTCTCTTCCACAATAAAGTTCCTTTGGGACAGGCTCCTCCTAACATCTCCTACTCTCTCTTCTGATCACCAAGACCGTCGTTGTCGTCGTCTTCCTTGAATCAATTTGATATGCAGCGTCACCAGCCCCCACGAAGCTCCTCTAGCAGCGATGTGTCAGACTGCGAGAGCTGCTTCGATGTGGAGGATAAAGTTCGGGGCGGCGACTCCGATACTAATCCGACGGATGTTGACACCGATATGGATGGCCACCCTCTAGAGTACTACCTTCATCAAGAGAATGATTCCGAGTCTGACGATGAGATTGAGGACTACAAGGACAATAGTCTTCGTCTCATCGACGGCATCGAGCAACGATTTTACCGTCAGCCTCTATCCCTTCACCTGCCGTCTCCCTGCACTCGTATCGCTAACTTGACTAACTTACAAGTATTGTAACTATGTCAAAAAGGATCCTATTCAGTCGATGCGACACTTCTTCAATTGGTTGCTGAACCAACGTCGTGGAAAGGGTGGGAGGAGGGTGAAAGGCGTCAAGTCAGAGTTAGAACGTTATAAGAACCTTCGACTGGTCTGCGAGACGGCGACTAGTAACAAAATCGAGGAGGGCGATAAAGGGTTCAACCGCAAGGTGAATCGGGTAAGTGTCTCCCCTCCCCCCACCCTGTCCCGCAAATCTGCATTTGAAAGGCTCACAGATCTACGTCTAGATTCTCTGGAAGGTAGCAAAGAAGCACCACCTCATGAGGGAGAAGCGTGAGAAGGCGGTTATAGACGTGGAGGCTCTCTCGACGATCCCCCAGACCAACCTAACCACCACGAAGAGGTACACACACGGCCGGCACCGCATCGCCATCGCCATCGCCATCGCCCTCTTCCTCCAGCTTGCTGGCTTCTCTGGGAACCGGCCGCAAGCCAACCTCGATCTCAGCTACCGCCACATCGCTGTGAGTCTGCTCCAGGACCCAGAGGACGGGCCCCACGGACCCTGATCGAGTTTACATGTGAGTTCACAAAGCAGTTTCTCGGCGAGAAGGAAGCGTAAGCTCTGCCGTCCTCCTTCCCCACTGACGCTCAATGCTGACGTGCTTTGGTCGATAGACCTGACCTCCCCTAAACATTCTTCCACAGCTCCTCTGATGTGTTCTTTACCTGGTTTCCCCACGCTAAAGCCCACCTTCTGTAGTTTGGTGTGCAAAAGCTCCTCGATTATGGGGAAGTCGTCATAATCGCCACCGTTACCGAAATATGCAATGCTACTCTCAACTTAAATTCCCAAAAGTTAGTCATGCTTGCTACAGCTGGCATTTAGGTCTCTCAAATACCTTGATCTCCGGGCATGCCGCTCCCATTCTCATCAGCTGCTGCGCCTACTTCTGGCATGGAGCGTCGAGTGCGACTCCCATCTGCTTGGCGGGAGAGTGGTCGTTGAGGATGCTGGATTTCTCTGGGATAGGTTTGCGGCGAGCGTTCGCGCCCCGAGGACGCGAGGCAGTTGGCACATATTCATAAGGTATGGGGGCAAAGGTGGCCATGTTGATCTTAAAATCATACAAAGCACTTAAGTCACATAAAGTCTTAGGTTTTATGAATCCGTTGATTTACTTTCTGCAATGTACGCCTAATCTTCCGCATACATCAGTGCCGCCCTCAGTCAAGATCCTGGCCCTCAGTCAAGATCCTGAACACAAGATTCCACATATGCTGTCCTGCACCCAGATCCAACCACGACCCCCTGATGCGCTGATAAATCCTGATGCGCTGATAAAACCCGCCTCCATTACCCAGCTAAACGCCACAAACACAGAAAACCTGTTCCAAAGTGCACCAGACGTACCGAGCACCATTTTGACTGAACAAATTACCCATGACCAAACGCCGCAAGCTGTGAGAGACAGTTCATCATGATGCATTTACCATCCATCATCATCACCACCACCAGCAACTGGGGCAGCAACTGGAGCCGGAGCTGCGCTACCAAATCCAGCATTGGTGGAAACGGCAACGGGAGCGGCTGGAGCACTGAAGCCATCATCGTTGCCAAAGCCGCCGGATCCAGAGCCAAAGCCATCCCCGAAGGAGGCAGAGGCAGGGGCAGCGCCGCCCTTGGGAGCGTCGGAGGCGCCGAAGCCACCACCGGAATCGCCGAAGCCGCCAGAGTCTCCGAAACCGCCGCCGCCGAAGTCTCCACCACCGGCCTCGGGCAACTCGGCAACGGGCTCCTTGCAGCGAACCTTGGTGTGACCCACTGGTGGGTTGTTAGTTGTGTGTTTTGATAGAAGAGGGTTTGCTTACTCTGCTGGCAGTTGGAGCATTGGATGCGAGAGTCTGGGAGTGGTTGTTAGTACGATCTATTGTTGATGATAATAGGTAAGGCGAGCTTACAGTCACGGGGCTTGGGGCACTCCTTGGAAATGTGACCCTTCTCATCGCAGTTGCGGCAAGTTGGAACGCGTGGTTCAGTGCCTGTCGGGATCAGTAAGGTATACGGGTTTATTATTTCAAAGAGAACTTACAATCCTTGGAACGATGGCCCTCTTGACCGCAGTTGTGGCAGGCTCCGCCACCACCGCCACCGGTTGGGCAGTCGCGCGAGAAATGGCCCACTACAAACATGTCAGTAGGAAATTAAACTATCGGATGGAAATGGCATACTCTCGTTGCAGTTCTTGCACTCGACACCCTCAGCAGAGCGAGGCTCGGTACCTAGAAATCTTCAGTTATATCCAAACCATATTTAGACCTCCGACAACTTACACTCCTTGGAACTATGGCCGGATTGCCTGTGGACTTGTCAGTTTATGCACCTTGAGAGGTTCAGGGAGGTGGGAGACATACTTGCAGTTGCGGCAGGCGAAACGATCCTCACGGGGCTTGTGGCCTGCATCGAAAGTTAGAGATTTGTACAAGGTAATGAAGTTCAATCAACTTACAATCACGCATACGATGACCAGTCTCGTTGCAGTTGAAGCAAGTGACAGAGGCACGATCAAGAACCTCACGCTTCTCCTCTGGGCAGGACTTGGTAATGTGGCCCATCTCGTTGCAGTTGTTGCACTTTGGGATGCCACGGGGAACAGGCTGACCACCGTTCTTCAGGCGCTCAATGTTCTCCTCCGGGGTCTCGGGCCAACCAATATTCTCCTTGGGGCGTCTAGGGTTAGGATCGAGCCTAAGCGTAACAGTGAACTCCTTGTCCAGGTTTCCCTGCAGGTCCATGTTGGTGTAGGTTGGGGCAAGCTCACGCTGCAAGCCAATGAGGTACAACGGAACGTTCATGTCGCGGAATCCCTCCTCGAGCTGAGGATAGGTGGCCTCGGGGCAAGCCTTGACATACTTGAGGAAGGCCTCCTTGATATCGTCCATGTCGCGATCCTTGACAGCCTTGCAGAGGCCCTCCCAGGCAACCTCAACCTCGACGACCTCAATGTTGCTACGATCGATCTTGCGTGGGTTGGTGCAAGCAGTGATGGTGTGGCCTAGATAATTTAAAGGTGAGCATTTGATTGAAGGTGTAATGTTTTATCAGGGGACTAACCTTCGTCACCACAGTTCTTGCACAACTTTGGCCCAGCAGTTGGGCAGTCAGAAGCACGGTGGCCAACAGCTTCGCAGACGCGGCAGGTACCCGTGAACTCACGAGGAACCTGGGGGTTAGGGCAATCCGCCTTGTTGTGGCTAAATGCGTGTTAGTGAGGGTATAAACATTGGTAATGCCATCGGATTCTGGAATCTTACCCAACCTCGCCACAGTTGTAGCACTCTCCAGCAAGCTGGCCACCTGCACGTGGGTTTGGGCAGTCGCCCTTCATGTGGCTATGTGCAATTTAGCAACAATTATTATGTGAGAAGCTTCATTCATACCCTTGCTCGCCGCAGTTGAAGCAAGCACCGTCGTTACCACCAGCAGCGCCGGCATCGCCTTGGCCTCCGCCAAAGCCACCACCAAAGCCACCACCAAAGCCACCACCAAAGCCACCACCAAAGCCATCATCTTGACCTCCACCGAAGCCAGACATTGTGTTGTTCAGGTTAAGGTATCTTTAAACAGGCTCCTGAAGGACTGTGCACAGAGGTTAGCTGCATCTTAGAATGACATAATATTGAGTGCGGAGGTGAGCAACTTGGAATGGAAAAGAGAAAGGTTGCATGATAAGATCTGGCCAGGGACTTGATGAAGATATGATCTAACCAAGGACTTGAAGTCCTGTTGGAAAGAAGGTTGCTGTGGAGTGTGCACTCCAGAGGTACAGCTTGTGAAGGACTTGAGCCAAAGCAATAAAAGAATCAAGACATACCTTTATGAAATAATCTATACTCGAGTAAGCCTGTGATGGACTCACAGGGCTTTACTTGAAGTGGAATGAAGTGGGATTTGAAGATGATCCTTCAAGATCGGAGGTTTGTTATGAAAAAGAGAACTCAAGGTCAAGAGGGAAACACAAAACAATATTTGGGTTCGCCTGGCAATAATGAATATCCGATCCGATCGCTTAGTATTTTGTATGAGGCTTTTCAAGCGCCCATTTTCTGTAGTCTCCAATATGATAGCCGCTCAGAATAATATCCACAAGGAGAGGAGGACTATCAAGGTCCCGTACAGCTTGATAAAATAACATTTATTTGACAGTTAAGGAATAGAACTGAGAATATAATAGAAAATACAGAACCTATATGTATCTATTTAAACTTACAGGACATCCTTTGTACCATTTGCCTTTGGAAAATGTGAGGTTCTAATCGTTGGTTTCCAAACCACCGCCTAGAGGCGGTTGGCGAAAGCAAAGTGTGCCATCTAAGCTGATGCCGAATGTACGCGTCGACCACCACAACAAATGTAATTACACCTTGACGTTGATAATGTCTTCCAATGATGTCCAAAAAGCGATTGATTTCTTGAACGAGAACCCTGGCGAGAACAATGCCATACCGAGAACAATGCCATAGCGAGAACAATGCCATAGCGGCTCGGATTTTCCATGTTAACCAAACCACACTCCGGATGCGCCGTACGCGTTAGACTCAGCTACCAAAGATTCGTAGAGGTAGCAATAAAGTGCTTTCAGATGTTCAAGCAGAGGCTATCCAAAGACACATCCAACGGTCTTATGAAAATGGATACCGTGTAACAAAGCCAATGGTTTTTAATGCTGTCTGCCAACTACTCGCAGCTAACAACCCTCCGCGTAATCCACCGTCACAACGGTGGTTCTAGACGTGGATCAAGTCCTAACATGAGACTTTCCACACTATTAAAACCTGTTGGAGGGGAAAGGCGGACATGGGCGTGGGGATTCGGTGGAAATTAGGCCCTGAGACACCCGTATTTCCAGGGCGACCGTCCAGCTCCCATACTGGGTGGCCGTGCTGATCTGCTGCAGCCACCGAAATCCTCCACGGCTCAGGTGATTACCACCCAGCCGTACGGGGTTTCCGGGTTTCCCCATTCCCTACATATAGAATACGTAGGCCCGTAGGATAGTATGGCAATTCAATTGTTTCATTTTTACTCTAAATTACCATATTTACTGTGAGCGTTCTGTTCCGTTGCACCCGGGATTAATTACGGTCGCCGGAGATCTACATACAATCCTGGCCCTACATCTACGGTCCGGGGACCGTAGAATTACTCCCAACAAAACCCGGCTAATCGAAGCAGCACGTGTTGCTTCTCATGATGTATCAGCTATTAAAGAATGGTTTCGTGAATTCAAAGATGTGTGTAATCAATTAGATGTTACTGTAGCTGACATCTACAACTTTAATGAAGTTGGGTTCTGAGTATGAATGAGCACTAGTGAACATGTGTCAGTGCCTACAGCAGTAAAGGAGCTAAGTCATATGTACTTATCTTACATTATATTAATTTATATAGCTTTACATACAAGCTCTAGAGAATCGTCAAAGTCTTATAGTAATCGAGACAATTTCAGCTACTAGCATTACACTCCTACCGTTCCTTATAATTCAAGGGAAGCTTTATATGCACGATAATCTACACGGTGATGAGAGAGTCGCAGTATCAGATTTAGGATATACAAACTCTGAGCTTATGGAATATCTATAGCATTTTGTTCAACACTCTACACCATCTACAAAGGCAAAGTTACTTATAATGGACTCTCATATTTCTCAATGAAGTTCCAGAATTCATAATACTTGCAAATCAAAACAACATACACTTATATGTATTTCCTTCTCACCTTATGCATATATTACAGCCTCTTGATGTTACTGTGTTCGCGTAGTATAAGCATTGGCACCGTCGTGCAATTTAGCAAGCAATTCGAAATTTCGACACTAACTATAATGTTATTTCATTCTTCTGAGACTTGTTAACAATCCGAACACAAACATTTATAAAGGGAAACTATACGAAACCG